CCACACACACACACACACACACACACACACACACGCTATTATTATCATTATTACGGAACGTTTTATTAATAAAATTATCATTGTTGTTATTATTATTTTTATTATTGTTACTATTATTACGTCATCCTCCAGCTGGTGACCTTTAGACACGACTGCATAACACTCTTTCCGAGTGTCCAGTACAGTTTAACGTTGACAACTTTTACGTCACCGTCGTCCTCTTTTCCATTGTCATCTTCCTTAACGTCATCATCATCGTCAGCGTCATCATCCTTTTTCGTGCAATCTTCGACAATATCTACTGAGTTCTTCTCTCCGGACAATCACATTGGAAATCATGACATTCATGAAGGTAGTGACGATTTGCGTACCTTATCATTTTTTAACGGCTGCAATAATTACCACAAAGTTTTAGAACTAATATTAATTGAAATAGATTGGTTAATTGTTGTACGAACGAACGAGTGAGCAAAAACATGACTTAATTTGTTGGCAGCTAGGGCGAGCGGGGAATGGACGGCAACGTTGAAATTGAGAATTTTCTTCGGCACGGCATCAAGCATGATGGCCTGCTTCCACGTGGCCCCCGCTAAATTTTTATTCTACAGTTACTACCTGTACCTTAGTCGAGGCCTTGAGCACCCGAACATAAAAGAACACACACACAACATCACTCTCGACCCAGCAGTCAGTTTTCTTATTTATCTACCCTCCCTTATTTATTGAATGGCTTTTATCTGTCTCTGTTTTGTACTAAATTAAATTTTTAATGTTTTTTATGATCAGAAAAACGCCGGTGAGCAGAGATGCGTAATGTTCAGGAACATTGAGGATGGAGTTTATTACATCTTCGTTAGTCGTCATTATTATAATTAAATAAAATATAAATCTCTGTTTCTTATCTTTATTTTATAGTCAATTTTAAAGAACATTCATACAAGTCATGCATGCAGTTATGAATTCATTATCGAACTATCGAACAGTTGTGATGCGGTTCTTGAAATCTGTACACGATTACAAATTTTAAAGACTTATACTCGAGACATAATTACTTCGCATGTTCTCATGTAGCCCGCTGCCAGGGGCAGCGGGCTACATGAGAACATCATTTTTAATGAAAATGATGGCTACATTTTTAAAATACTTGTTGATATAAGAATACTGGGTAAGCGATTTCAAAACTTGATAAAATAAGAACAAACTCTTTCCGTTCTCACTAATTACGTAGCGTGCTCATAAAGTATAAAACCTTAGAAATAATCAAATCGCTATTGAATAAGGGCGCCAAAATTAATAAATTAAAGCAAATGAGGTATTTTTCAAGTTCCTACACCGCTGTTTATTTTTTTTCATTATCAAACTACGAGTATTTATTTGAAATATGCAATAGGCCGATGTTTGTTTTCAAAGGTATCAGCTTGAAATTTTATCAATCAATCAACCAGTTAAGACCAGCGTCGGTGCATGGTTGCACGTGCAAAGACTACCTCTCTGACTTGGACGTTGAACCCAGTTGCGTGGAGTACTGCCTGGTCACACAAGTTGGGCCCATGTCCGTCAAATATGGTGAGAATGATGACAGTGATGATGACGTTGATGATGAAAATGATGGTGATAAATGTATTGATTAATGTATTAATGTATTGTGTTAAAGAGGAACACAAAGTAATACATAATGGAATTTTGAAATAATAATGCTGGCATTTTACAATAAATCAAAAAATTTAAAGTTATAAATATAAACAATGTTAACGAGTGATAACACCTAATTCAAAATAAGTTGATACTCTCATCAACAAAACACCCACAAATGTAGGAAAAGTCATTCCAACTCTTGGAATTGAAGTGGATTTCGACTACTCTAACTCAACGACGACGACAAACAACAACAACAACGCGACAATTCACGCAAACAACGAGCCCACAACACATGTCATTGATATTTCACTACTTCGCATTTTGATGTCCATCCTTGTTGCCCTTGTTATCGCTCTTGTTTGCGCTTTGATCAGCATTTTCGTAGTTGTGGAGCTGCGCAAAAAAATAGCGAAAAAAAATTTTAAGAAATATCAAATAATAAATCTAAAGCGAGCTATCTCAACAAATCCACCCAACAATATTGTTTTGGTTTTCTTGGATGTTAACAGCAGCAGCAGCAGCAGCAATAACAGCAACGACAATAATGTTTGTTGGCCAATGAATGAAACAGAAATTAATTCCACTTTAGATGCGTTGAAAGACGACTTGCAACAACATCGCGACATCAACTTTACATTCATCTACCTATCTAACTGCGATTCCAATGTTGATGAGATACTAAATAACGCGAACATGGCTACAAACAACAAAAACGTCAGCAAAACTATCCTAGTGGTTCACTTCAGCACAAACGCAAACCAATTTACAAATGACTACCGTAGAAAAAAGAACAAGTTTTCCAAAGTACAAAACATACGAAGTTTTCTAAGTTACTTATTTCAATGCAATAAAGATAAAACAAGATCTAATGAACCAACAAGCCATCAAATGAACCAAATAATCAACCAACAAATCAATGACTTAGCTAGTATACAACTGAGCCAGCCAATAAACGAACAAATCAATCAATCAATAAACCAACCAATCAGCCAGCTACCAATCAAAGAGAACGACCTCACTCAACACTCCGCGGCCGAATGCTTTGTAATTATAACAGCACAAAAATATTTCCTTGAGCGAAAACCTTCCAGCGGTTTTGTTTTATGTTTTCATAAATTGTTACTTCCTCAACAGCCCAGCGTCAATCAACAACAACATCAGCAACAAATAGGCCTCAACATACAACAACACCCTTGTCACTTGACGAATCCACCACAACAAACAGTTCAACGTCAACTCTTGAAGAATTTAATTAAATTCCAACTGCACAAAATTCGAATAGACTGCATAGGAAACGTTATTTTTAACAACAACAATGAGAAAGTTGGGGAAGATATAAAGAAGAACGATGACAAGATGGCTGAAGTCAATGTCGACGACGTCTGCTTTTCCACTGGAACGAATGACAGTGGCATATCGTCTGGAACGTTCAAAAACACCCACAGCAGCTCAACAGTCGTCCAAATATTTGAAGACTTTGGCATTCAGGTTTACAAGTCGTTCGACTGGTTCAACTATCCTCTCTATGGCAATAACGGGAGTGATTTATTTTTAGCTGACGAAAACGATGAAAGTATAACGAAAGATCGTGACGCTCGATGAATGACGATGTTGGATGATTCAACGTTAGATATGACGTTGTGAATTAACTAACTGAACATGTTTTTTGTTATTTTTTTTAAGCCGAAATTTATAGTTTTTGCATATGCTAAAAATACACACACATACACACACACACACACACACACACCACACACACCACACACAAGCACAAATGTTGCGATTTTGCACCTGTTTTGTTTTTCTTCCATCCGTTTAATTATATTAATATTATTCTCCGTTACGTATTCAATAAATCTGAACAAAGTGTTTGACTGGCGCTATTTATTGTTTTTTATTTAAAATAAATTGAATAAATAAATTAATTAATAAGTTAATGAATGAATGAAGGAATAAATAAATGAATGAACGTGTTGATGAAAAACGAGTTTCATTCTTCTAAGTAAATAAACCGTTATGAGCAAGCAGCCTCAGGTGTGTTATAAAAAATAAAAACATGATGCGTAGAATGAATCGCACGTAGGAAACCCAGCATATTTTCTCCTACATAGCAGTTCTTAACCTTTGTGGTGCTGTGAACTTTTTTAGATCTTCCAAAATCAATAAATCAGTTTCAAAAGCGCCATTTCCGCGATGTTCAACAACGGTCCTTGGTGAATTTTTTAACAGTTGGGTCTTGAAGTCCACTTTGAACTTCGTAAGAAATGAAAAAGTAGTTAGAAAAGGAAGTAGAGAGTTCCAGAAAAATGGTCCAGAAAAAGCAAAAGCAGATTTAGCAACAGAGGATTCAACACGAATCAAGAAATATTGAGAACAAGAAGTTTGGGTTCAATTAATATATCTGATAAGTACTTAGGAAATAATTTAGATTGTAACTTATACATAAATGTGCAAATTTTAAAAATTATTCTGTATGCTATATGTAGCCAGTGCAAGAGAACAAGATATGGAGGTATATGAGAAAAGAAAGGGACACAAGCAACCAGACGAGCAGTAGAGTTAACAGCTTTACTTAAAGGATAGAGTGTAGAATCAGGAAGACCATAGAAGAGTGAGTTACAATAATCAATCTTAGATAAACTAAAGAAGTAACAAGAAGGAGAAGAGTAGGATCGTCGAGAGAAGATAAAAGTTTTTTTATTTTACGTAGATGAAAGTAAGAACTTCTAGCCACACTATTAATCTAAGAAGAAAAAGATATGCTAGTATTAATGATAAAACCTAGGCTAAGAAACTTATGAGAAACATCAAGAGTTAGATAATAGAAAGGGTATTAACAAGATATTTAAATTTGTTAAAATGTATTAATTCAAACATAGAAAGATGACCAATGGTATGGGTACCAAAATCGAAAATAATTATTTTTGTTCATGAGTTTTCTAAGCCCATAATATGGTATATCTCACTGAATAGATTATATATTAACGCCAATTCCTCCGGATCAACGTTCAGTTTATGTTCTATACATCAAATCTTATCCCAAAAATAATAAACAAATTTGATAAAAGAGTTAGTTGATTTTATTTTTAATAATCATTTTTATAATTTATTTTAAAAAATTTATATAAATTGTTAGTCACAGTGACAAAAAACATTTTCAATACAGTCCAAAAATGAATAAATTAAAAATGCTGTTAGCTTTCCATCAACTTACCTTTAAAGGTAAACATATAGGAACCGTTCTTAGAATTAGTCATTTTCATTCCTTTTCATTATACGGGAGTGACCAATCGTTTTCTGACGTGTAAACGATTGGACCGTGAAAATGATTGGTGTCAATATGTTTGCCTTTAATATATATACATATTTAGCAAATCAAATCACTTTTCTATTCAATCAAACAATACGGAAAACAATAACAAAGGCATGAAATGAATGATTCGGAGACCAAAAAAAGAAAATTCTTTATTTTTTATAAGTATATTAATTATAAATTATATAATATAATGTTATATTTATAATATAATTATAATAAAATATTAATTATATAATATAATGTTATATTTGTAATATAATTATGTCATAGTTTATCTGCTGTAAATGTAAATGTAAAAAAAAGGTTGAAGATAGTTCATCTGTAATTCTGTATTCTGTAAAAAACACAAGCTATGTCATAGTTTATCAGTTATCTGCTTTAAATGTAAATTCATCTGTAAATACGACTTTAATTAGTAGTGAATTAGTCTGAATCTGAATTGGCCTTTATGCTTATCCCATATATATCAGGATCAGTTATATTCAAAAATCCATTAATTAAATTAAAAAAGATTAACTGAATTGTTACATATTTATTTTATATTACAAAAAGATAAATTTTAAAAGATGTCTATAAAAGAGCTCTACACAAAGGTTAAGATAGCTTTGGAACTATTTTCTTAAACCACCAACCTATTCAAATTCATTTATCTATAAAATTTGTTCATTTGATTTAATAATTGTTAATCATGTTCAATTTATTTATTTAGGGTACCAAAATATGGCTACCAGATGCAGATGAAGTGTGGAAGTGTGCTACTTTGCTGGATGATTATGTCGACCAGAAGGTACTAAATGTTCAGCTGGAAGATGGAAAGGTACCAAATTGAACCTCTCAATAAATAGAGGATAATTAATTTCATATTATATGCAACTACATGTTTCTAATATATATATATATATATATATATATATATATATATATATATTATATATGTAAAGTATCTATTTTTTATCATTTTTAGGAATTAAAAGTGAAAATAAATTCACCCAACGACCTGCCCCATTTAAGAAATCCTGAAGTTCTCATTGGTGAGAATGACCTGACCTCATTAAGTTACCTACACGAGCCTGCCGGTAAAATAAATGATAGTGAAGATTAAAAGATTATGATTTTATTCTAATTTAATAGCTTTTTAGTTATTATTATTATTATTATCGGATTATTTGTATGGCACTTTATAACACTCAGAAAGCTGATTACGATGGTTATAAGATTATGATTTGTATAATTTATTTTTTATAAAAAATGATGATATGACATTTAAAAAAAGAAGATTTTTCATTTTTAATTTTACTATTTAATTCCTTCATACACAGTACTGTACAATCTGCAAGTTCGATTTTGTGAACGAAATTACATTTACACGTATTGTGGTTAGTAATTATACTGATTATTTACAAATTAATTTACCATTAAAACATTTACCGATTGAAACATTTTCAAGTCAAACCAAACAATTAAAACATTTACAAATTTAAACTGACCAATTAAAACATTTATAAATTTAAACTGACCAATAAAAAAATTTAAAGATTAATTAGACTAAATATTACAAAATGTATTGTAATTATCAATTCAACGAACAATCAATTCATTAACCTTAGATTCATTCATCTATTTTTTCAACCGTACATACTGTCAAATAAAAAATTCATTCATTTGCATAAAAACCATTCCACAAAAACAATAGTACGTAGAAAGAATGTGTGTTAGTAAACATCATTTAAATGATAAATGTCAAACAATTAGAATTTAGCACTGGATTAGTGTAACTTTTATAGTATAGTTGTCTGTCTGGTCTATACCACATTTACCGGGTTCGATTTCAAAGAAAACCCCACTCATCATATGTATAGATTCAAGTGAATTCCTTATTCTGTGCTTGCACGCGCGCGTGTGTGTTGATAATTTTTACTTTTGAATGGCAAGGAAGGCCATTTTATTGACGACTCTTTAAAAAACTTCCTAGGTATTGTGCTGGTGGCCTTCAATCCTTACCAGCAACTGCCGATATACGACAATGGGACCATCAGGGCGTACAGCAGCCAGGACATGAACACCATGGATCCCCACATATTCGCCATTGCCGAGGAAGCTTTTAAGAGAATGAGCAGGTTCATTTTATGACGTATTCATGTGGGTGATATAGTATCATTTGATAGTGATGATACTGATGTTACGAGGTTATATAATTATATATATTAATGATGGTGATAAATATTAATGATGGTGATAAAATGTGATGCGATAATTGTCAGATGAGTTAAAATTTTGAAAAAAATTATGTGTTTTCAGGGTAAATATATTACGATGAATAGTTCTCTCAACATTTACTTAAGGCATTAGAGACGTAAATATTTTCATTTAAAAGATTCGAAGAGAACCAATCCATCATTGTCTCTGGAGAATCAGGAGCGGGCAAAACAGTCTCAGCCAAGTACGCCATGAGGTACTTTGCCACAGTTTGTGGAGCTGAAGATGAAACTCAGATCGAGAAGAGAGTCCTTGCTACCAATCCCATCATGGAGGCAAGTGCATCAGATGCTGTTACGCGTACCATAAGTGTCAATTTTTTATTTAAAATTAATAAAATACCTGCTAAGGTGAATAAAACTTTTCAATTAAATATATCACGTACTTTAAAATCTTTAACAACATTTGTTCCGTGTGGTTTAAAGCTGGTTTTCTTTAGTTTATTGAACTTTTAATATGAAATTGTAATTCATTGATACACATTTTGGCTTTTTCAAATTAAATTAACCATCAACAGTTTTTAGCGAGTTAAATTAAATCTTATAAAACGTTTGTAATGATAGATGATATGAAAAATTGAAAATCAAGACATTAAAAATTGATATTTATTAAAATCTTCTTTAGGCGATCGGCAACGCGAAGACGACACGCAACGACAACAGCAGCAGGTTTGGCAAGTACATCGAGATTGGCTTCAGTAAGAAGGAGCACATACTTGGTGCCAACATGAGAACTTACCTTCTTGAGAAGTCCAGGTATTGTGTGTCAAGTGAAATTAAATTGAAACGAAACTATTTTAATAAACACGCCATCAGTTTTGCTATTTTTATTTTACTGCTTCTTCATTTTCATTTCAGAGGTGATTATTTAGTGAGTATTAATTTTTGTTTGTTGCCAGCCATGGAGTTCTCGTTTTGTATATTTTTTTAAAATATATTTTTTAAAATTACATTATATATTTTTTTATATTACGTTATATTGATACCCTTTTTGTGATTATAAATCGTTGAACGTGAACAACACTGCACGTGCACTTGTTCAGAGTTGTCTTTCAGGCACCAGATGAGAGGAACTATCATATCTTCTATCAGCTCTGTTCGGCTGCTGACGATCCTGCATTCAAGCAGTTCCATCTAGGTTGCTTAGACTTGCTTATATCTTTTAACATTCGTTGTTGTTTTCGGCTGGCGGCATATTTTATATTGTTACTTTTATGAAAGATTTGTGACGTATGAAATTAACAAGAAATAACAAAATATTCAATTGAATCAATTAGCATAGTAGCTAAATACTCGGTTCAAAGTTGGAGAACCAATCAATCAACCATCTTATCAGTCAATCAATCAACTGAACTTTCAGACAACTCTGAAGAGTTCCACTACACGAACCAAGGTTCCTCTACCATCGTCGACTCCATAAGTGATTCTGAAGACTTCTTAAGTTTTTGTCAAGCGCTCAACATATTAGGTTGGATGTTGGATTGGCGGATTTGTTTTTTTTCATTGAATGCACTAAGTGATTGATTGAAACAAATTATATTAATGTATTTAACTTCAATTTTACGCTAATTGAACATGAACAAACATTCACGCATACAAACACACACACGCACGCACACAAACACACACACACAAACACACATAGCAACACACTCAAACATAAAGGAATGAACCAGATGAAGCAAGCACAAATCTTCCGCATACTCGCCGGCATTCTTCACCTCGGAAACATAACATTCAAACAGGACCTCAAATCAACTGAAGCTTGTTTCATACCTGTCAGTGTCCTGCTGTTAAAAATATCAAATTTATTTTCTTCCATTTTCAATGATGGAAAATGAAAATGCAAAATGAACTTGAAACCAGAAAAAATGAAACTTAACTATAATTGATGACGCTTGTTTCTTGTGTAGCAAATGGATGATACTGATACTTTTTTTTACTATTTTTACCACTTCTTTAATTTTTACTGTCGCTACTGCAGCCACCATTAATGCTACCAGGGATAATTACAATAATAGTTTAGTTTTTAAAATATTTGACACTGTCAAGGTCAAAAAGACTAAAGTTTATTCACTTCAATTCTATTCCATTACTTGGGTTATCGATAAATTTTATCTTTTCGTGTTTCAATAAATCAACATTCTAGGTATATAATATGTAAAGTTCTTCTTTATTCTTCATCTTCTTTCTATTCTTCTTCTTCTTTTGTTATTATTATTATTCAATATATTAAAAATATATCTCGAGGGAACTGGGTCTCTGGACGCTAAACGAAGATTGATCGATTGATATTAAAAATATTTTTAACTAATTAATTACCTGACTGATAAACCTAGGAAAAAGACAAGCACATGTTGATAACTTCGAAGTTGTTTGGTGTCGACATGGAGCAGTTGAGTCACTGGTTGTGTCACAAGAAGATGGTCACGGTAAATGAAGTGCTGGCTGTACCTCTAACTGTCAATCAGGTTGGTGAGTGTGTGTGAGTTGTGTGGTGTTGGTGAGTTGTTGTTCTTTTTCTTAGGCTATTGCTGTCTTATTTGCTGTGTTTGTCGTAGTTGTTGTGGCCGTTGTTGTTGATGTGGCTGTCGTGGTTGTTGTGGTTGTCGTGGTTGTTGGGGCCGTCGTGGTTGTTGTGGCCGTTGTGGTTGTTGTGGCTGTCGTGGCTAATGTGGCCATTGTGGTTGTTGTGGCTGTCGTGGGTGTTGTGGTTATTGTGGTATTGTTGGTTTGTTATTGTAAATTTCACGATGGGTCTATGTCGGTTGTTGTTGTTGTGTTATTTAATGTTACCGTGATTTCAATTGATTGTTTTAAACGCTGACAATTCCGTTGTTACTCATTGTTATATAATCGCGATAAAGTTAGCGAACTCAGTGACGTCATCGACACTTAGGTCGCCATCAGAATTACTTCACATCACATATACCAGACAAACAAACACTACACCACACGATACAAACAAACAAACTCCACACCACACGACACAGGCGGCATTTTCTCGCGATGCCCTCTCGAAGCACATCTACTCGAACCTCTTCTTATGGATCGTCAACCAACTGAACAAGTCACTCTCATCTGTCGGAAAGTCCAATCATTTTATCGGAGTTCTCGATATTTATGGGTTCGTGGGGATTTTTCAACTATTTGTCATTAAAAATTGTTTAGTTAGAAATGACTGAATCATCGACATCTTGTTGGTTGTTAAGTTATTATAAATAGCTGAATCACGAACACCTTGAAATATTATGTATCCTGTGTATTATTATTATTAAACATTAATCTATATTATGCTACACGAAACATTATAGAGAAAAGTTATACGGGTTGAGTTGTGATAATTGTCGAATTATGAATGGTTGATTCGTGATTTAGACGACAATCATTTGGTATGACACTAAATCAAGTCTTCTAAGCATATATAATCTTTTGAGCAGTTTTACTAAATAATGTTGCAGTTGCATTAATTTCGTTGCTATTTTATTAACAACCATTGTTAAAATTCTTTCTACTGATGTCTACAACATGTCTACAACACGTCTACGACATGCCTAAAACACCTCTTCGACATGTCTACAACACGTCTACAACACATCTACAAGATTTCTACAACATTACTTACTATCATTAATAATAACTCTACCACTGGCTGGTTGCCTAAATTGATTTTACTAAAATGTTCAGTAAAATTAGAATTACTACTATTCAATCCCTTTGTAATGAATAATAAACTTTGTAATCTTAAACTTTGCAATGCGATTACGATATGAATAAGAATGTACCAATATAATTTTTAAATTTTTAAACATTTTTTAAAAATTGTTAAACTTTTTAAACTTCAAGTGTTTTAATGACTTACTCATTCATATTTATGACTACATTGAAGATAATGCGTTAGTGGTACGATTGTCTTTTTCACATGACAACATGTCTGATATAAAGTTAATTCAATTCTTTCAGGTTCGAGACTTTTGAAATAAACAGTTTTGAACAGTTCTGCATAAATTATGCTAATGAAAAGCTACAACAACAGTTTTGTTTGGTTGGTTATTTATTGTTGTGTAAAATTAAGTTGTTCATATAACTAATTTTGCAAAAGAGTTTTTCTTATCATTATTGAACTATTCCATCTTTATTTCATTTTTTTTACTGGTTTTTTGTTAACTTTTTATACATCCAATCAACCAGTGAATAATTTATTTGGCGATCTATCTTCCTTTCCTTCGTTTATTCTCTCATTTATTCATTCGATCGATTTTTTCATGACGTCATTAACACGTCACGTCACGTGATGAACAGCACGTATTCAAGTTGGAGCAGGAGGAGTACGTACGTGAGCAGATCGAATGGTCCTTCATCGACTTCTACGACAACCAGGCCTGCATCAACCTCATCGAGAGCAAACTCGGCATCCTCGATCTTCTTGATGAAGAGTGCAAGGTTCGTTCGCTCGTTCGTTTTTTCATTTATTCATTTATTCGTCGTTCTTTCATTCCGTCATTCGTTCATTTGCTCATTCGTCCATTTATTTATCCATTTATTTGTTTGTTTGTTTATTTATTCATCTTAATGAAGAGTGCAAGGTTCTTTTGTTTGTTCGTCTATTTGTTCATTCGTTCATTTGTTCACCCATTTATTTCTTCGTTTTTAAATTCACCCATTTAAATATTTTTTTGATTATTATACCAGCGATAATGTAATTGCTACCAGATGGTGAACGGGTCTGATGAGAACTGGTGTCAGAAGTTGTACGTGAAGCATTCGAAGAACAAGCACTTCTCGAAGCCGAGAATGTCGCAGAACGCCTTCATCATCCACCACTTTGCCGATGACGTCGTCTACCAGATACATGGATTCCTCGATAAGAATAGGGACAGGGTCCTTGAGGAACATATCAACATCTTCAAAGCTAGTGAGGTAGGTCTCTGTCTGCGTAAGTGCGTGCGTGTGTGCGTTTGCGAGAGAGAGAGAGAGAGAGAGAAAGAGAGGAGAGAGAGAAAGAGAGAGAGAGAAGAGAGAGTGATTACGACGGTGTAATGATGATAAAAATGATGCTAACAAGTGTAGTAGTAGTGACGATGAAGATGATGTTAAACCACAACTTGGATATTGAAAACTGTATTGAATGCCAATTTTGTTATTCAAATCCGTTTTCTAAGTATCAAATGTTTATTGATTGTACTATCGTAGCAATTATATAAATAATAATAATAAGAAAAACTAATTTATTCGTTCTTGAATCTCTCAAAAAAATAAATTCTGCAAAATCACCATTTGAAAGATTTCTCTTGGTTTAAACGCAATTTCATTGAAATTTTAGTCAAGCCCTACCACGCTAACAATGTAGAGACATGCACTTAGAATAATGTAAATACATAAAAGTACAATTGTACTTAAAAATGTGTGAAACCGACGTAACTTTAACGCGTATCAGATAAGCATGAATAGACCCTCTGACAATATGGGTATCTATTTCAATGCAGGGTTGTATGTCTTAAATACCTAGATGCCAACACATTTTAAAAAATTTCATTCATTCAGACTGCGTACAACATTAAAAGTTTTGGAGTATAACTAAAAACTAGCTGGAATAACAAACGAATCAAATAAATGATATGGAACCGACCAAACACTTCCAACTTCAGACATCATTGTTTATATCCATATCAATCAATAATTAATTTATCAATCAATCAATCAGTCAATTAATCAATCAATTTTCTATCAAACTTTCAACCAGTCAGAATTATTCACATAAACGTACACACGCATACGCACACAGTACGAGTTGATAGCAGAACTGTTCCAAGATGACCCCCCACCAACTTCCACCACGTTGGCCGTGCCGAAGGTCAGCAACAGCAAGGTCATGGTCAGGTCATCGCAGCCGAACATCAAGGGCAACGTTCCTCATTCCAAACACTCGAAGACAGTTGGATCACAGGTTTGTTTGGTTTTGTTTGGTGTTTGATTGTGTTTTGTTGGTTCGCGTGTTGTTTGTTGTTGGTTAGTTTGTTTTGTGTTGTTCGTTTGTTCGTTAGTTTGTTGTACGTTGTTTATTTGCTTGTTATTAGTTTTGTTCTAGCATGTTTCTTATCTTCCTTAACGCGATGTGTGTGCGCGTTTCGTTTTTCATTTTTTTTTTTGAAAGATTATCTTCCAACCTAGCTAACAGCGTTGTAAACATAATAATCCAGTTCAGTGAGTCGTTGAGTCTGCTGATGGAGACGTTGTTCTCAACGACACCGCACTACGTCAGATGCATCAAACCTAATGATAGCAAGCTGCCTTTCACGTTCGTTACAACTTTCAAGTCTTAAATCAATCAATCAATCAATCAATTAATCAATCAATCAATCAATCAATCAATCAATCAATCAATCAATCAATCAATCAATCAATCAATCAATCAATCAATCAATCAATCAATCAACAACAAAAAGTTGATTAATAAAATATTTGATTTATTGTTTATCTGATTGCTTGATTGATTGATCGAATGATTTACAAACTGTCAATCCAATAGTTTTGATCCTGTGAGATCAGTTCAGCAGTTGAGGGCGTGTGGAGTTCTCGAAACCATCAGGATCAGTGCAGCTGGCTATCCATCAAGGTTGGTTGCTAGGTTGATCAACTGACTGGTTGGTCAGTTGGTTGATTGGTAGATTAAGTTGAATGGCTAGTTGGTTGAATTGTGCACTGTTTGCATGGTCTAATGACTGACTGATTTTTTTGCAATGTTTTCTGGCTGGTTAATATATTGCCCGTTACGTTGTGCTTGTTCACTACATTAGCGTTTTTTATTCCATTTATAATTTCATTAATTAGTTGAAATGAGTAATTAATTTAATGGATAATTTCTACAGGTGGACGTATTCAGATTTCTTCAAGCGTTACAGAGTGCTGTCGCCATCATCCAAGATGATTGACAAGTCAAATTTGAGGAAAACCTGTGAAGCTACTATCGCCAAGTTAATCAACGTTGGTTGCGATGTTGCCATCCTTACCCTCATCATCACTATCACCATCATCATCGTCATCATCACTATCACCACCACCACAATCATCATCATTAACATTACCATTTTTCATCGTCATCATCATCTCGCCATCCTCTTCATCATCATCATCTCGCCATCCTCTTCATCATTATCTCGTCGTCCTCATCTTTTTCATCATACTCCTCCCAGGATACAGACAAGTACCAACTCGGCAAGACGAAAATATTTTTCAGGGCAGGTCAGGTTGCCTATCTTGAAAAATTAAGGTTCGTCCATTTTAATTTTGATTATATTTCGATTTTCAATTTATTATTTTATTATTTCCTTAATATGTCAGCGGCTCTGTTGTACTGACACTTAAATTTTTGTGAAGTTACGATGGTTGGGGGTTTTGCGTGATGAGTAGGGACTGCTTATAAAACACACACAGGTCGGATAAATTGAAATCTTGCATCATAAAGATGCAGAAAGTCGTGAGAGGCTGGCTAATGAGGAGGAAGTACCAGAAGATGAAGAAACTCGCGCGTCTGCTTCAGACTTGTGCAAGAGGATTATTGGCCAGAAGGTTGGGTTTTCTATTATTTGATGATTTAATTTGCCATTTTAAATTTTAATTTATTTATTGTTTTATTTTTTAATTTATTTTGTCATTTTTAATTTATAGAAAAGCTGATTATTTGAGGAAATGTCGTGCTTCGACGTGCATCCGTGCAGCCTGGTTAGCCTGCGTGTGCAGGAGGAAGTACTTAAAGATGAGGAGTTCCATCATTAAAATACAGGTCAGGTTGAAAAGCTCTCAATGAAAAGTTTTCAAATCGTTCAATTTCAGTAAATATTTGAACTTTTGAAAATTGAAATTTTATTTCAATCATCTTAATAACAAACGATCGGAGTTTAACGTCGCCATCTCTCGCCATCAAACAGTCGTACGGAAGGAGCATGCTGGCTCGCAAGAACTTCTCAGATTTGCACGTGAGGATTCGTGTGTCAGTCATTCAGAGGTTCGTACGTGGCTGGTACTGTCGGAGGAGATTCAAGATGGTCGTGAGGGGCATCACGAAGGCGCAAGGTCTCGTCAGAAAGATGATGGCCAAGAAGCAACTCAGACGGTTGAAGGTCGTACATTTTAGTTGCTGGTTTGACAGTGGGATTGTTATTTATGGAAATTTTTTATTTATTTAAGCTCATCTGATTTTTAAAAATTTGTTTTATATGTTGTTGATTCGTTTTGATTTTTTACTGAATTTATTAACGAAATTAATGAAAAGTTATTATAATTATTTTTATTATTCTAAAATATTTTTTGCTTTCACAATGGACCCAACAAAACAAACATCATCAGATTGAAGCAAAATCAACTGAACACATCAAAACGAAAGGACTTGAAAACAAAATCATCGAACTTCAACAAAAACTCGACGAGAAGGTTTAATTTGTTGCATCATTTGACATCTCTATCGTTCGCTTGTTAAGTTTGCCACACAATCCTAACTAATTATGTTGAAAAACAGGCGAAGGAGATTAATTTGCTGAAAGAGGAAAAGCAAACAACAGAAAACTTGAGGTCAGAGGTTAGCAAACTTCGTGACGCCAGAAAAACATCAACTGCCATGATTGATCACGTGGGCGTCTTGGAACTAAGGATCGATGCGCTGACTGAAGAACTGGAAGCCGAGAAAAAAGAAAAGGAAAGATTGCTCCATGAAAAGGAGGGGATGAGGAGAGAAAAAGATGGAGTGAGTGTCGCCTTTGGCTTCAGACATGTCTGTTATCATAGTTGCATTCGTCATTACTATTTTACTCATCACTGTCGTCATCATTATCATTGTTGTGGTTATTGTCATCATCATCATTCATCATCATCATCGTTGTCGTCATCTTCATCAGATCATTAACCACTTGAACAACGAGCGAGAACTGTTAAAGAATCAGATAGAAACAATCACGCAGGAGTTGAAGGCTCACGTGGAAAATCAAGAAGGTGGCTGATTGTGTTTGCTGGTTGATTGATTTGTTGGGTGATTGATTTTTGATTGATTGATTTGTTGATTGATTGATTTGTCGATTGATTGATTGATTTGTTGATTGATTTTTTGTTGAATAAATAACTGACTGATTGAATAATTTTTTTGATAGATAGATAGATCGATTGATTGATTAGGTAGGAATAATCGCTGGATAGTTTACGTTTATGGAACCATTTAGAACAAATTTTTAATAATAAGTTCTTCATGATTTAATGCGCCTGTTATAAGATTTGAATGAACTACAAAACGGCAGATGTGACGAGGCGAAGGATCGAAGAGGCGAACATGATGCTGAGGCACGAGATAGAGATGGAACGAACCAACCACCAACGCCTCATCAAGGAACACACCAGGTTAACACACCGCAACTATTTCCATCTAATGTTCTCTCTAATTTATCAACATTATTTATACATTATTTTAAAAAATATTAAAAAATTGATCTAACATATTCTTTTATACTGAGATGCAATAATGGGAACAATGTTAATAAGATTATCTAATTTGTTCATATGTTTACAACCATTTTCTTCCTATTTTTATCGCATTCATCAACCTTAAAAATTATTTGAACGCGTGAAGAGTACAGCAGAGGTTGGACAACCTGCAGTCAGACAGCACGCTGTACGTGGGTACACCGAGGTCCAAGAGACACAGGAGAACACCTTCCAACCTCAGCGACTTCAGTCTCGAGTCTGAGGGTAGCGGTGGCGACAAGAACGAAGCGGTTTGTTGTTCTGCGCTCTACTTGTAGGACGACATTGTGAATGAAAGTGTTGATTAATTTGCATCGTTGTTTAATATAAGCCCTCATCAACGCAGGGCGTCCTCTGTATCGTTTCGTACTGATTCGGTTAAAATTGACTTTACTCTTTTGCAAAGTAATTAACGTACAAGTGCATGCACAGTTTTATATGTACGAACAAGCAGCGAGACACACCGTAGTCTTTGAGTTTTGCGTAGCCAGCGTTCGAACCATGTCTATTTAGCAATTTTTGTCAAATCAATATTAGCTATACGGAAAAGAAGCAACTACACTATTGAAAAATCCTGATTGTCATTATGGTAGTTCAGTGATAATGTTAAGTGTTGTGTGTTAAAATAATGAATGACGATCCATGAACTCTTATGCTGCTTCAAATGCAATCACGAACGCAGGACTCTGGGATAGGTTGCGCCAAGAAGAAAGATAGACATTTAGATAACGAAAATGATCTGTCGCCTGTCTCTGAAAATGTTAGTTTTATCGTTTTTACTGATCTTAAAAAATAAACTCACTCACTTTTTTTCATTTTTAAAAATTCACCAAACAAAATCTTCAACAGTCAATGACGATAGACAAGAATGAAGTTCCATTGGTTATGAAACTTCAAAGGAAAGTAAAAGAGCTGGAAATTATGAACAGGAAATACCGGGATGATTTAAATAGACGGGATTTCCCACATCAAGACGCTATTTTTGCTTACGGCAACGCGCCTCTAAGCACCATCTACGAAGCTTTTAAGGAATTAGGATAATTTATTTTATTATTCTTGAAAAATTAAATCAAATAAACAAAGAATATATGGTTTTACGACTTTTTAAATCAAAGCTATTTGTGTTAAGTAATTTCTGTTAATTAATCAATCAATTTATTAAACTAAATATATATCAATATAATCAAATGAAGATTATAATTTTTTTATTTTGAAATTGCAGCTACAGGAACTTGAGATAGAGAACGCGAGCATCCGTAACCAGTTGTCTCGTCTGCAAAAAGTGCTCACAGAAAGTGCATCCAACTATGACGTGAAAGGCGGCAAGACGAGACAACTCTTCGGTTTGTTGCTGCTGTTGTTGGTGGTGCTGTGCTAACAATTGTAGTAGTTTAGTTGTCATTTGACATCTTTTTAAGAAAAAAGATTAGAATGATAAAATTAAAAACAATATTACAGTTAGTTTTTAACCGAAGATGATTTAAAATGTTGTCACCAGATCATTTTGAAGCGTTGAAGGAGGAGTTGAAGCACAAACACAACGAAGTAGCCAGGCTGAAAACATTGCTCTTCAAGTCGCAGGAGCAACAAATGCACAGCAACAAACTAGCAACTCCAACAACTTCCTCTCCCTCCATGCCCTCCTCATCACCATCATCATCATCATCTTTAACAGCGAAACCATCGAACGACGAAATTATCTTGAATGAGGACGGCGAACTGAACATGGCTTACGAATCGCAGAAGAAACTTAATCAGTGCGTTCTCGTTTTTGTGATTGAATTTTAAAGTTTATGCTAGTTTGTATCAATTGAACATTATCAACGTTATCTTTATTTTTATTAATGTTATTATTTATATTATTATTTTTTATATTATTATTATTTATATTATTATTGCTGTTAATTTGTACAGTTGGCGCAAACGCAAAATGGTTTTTAACGTTTATTGTCTAACGACATCGACTACGTGTCATGTTTTAACTAAAAAATTTTCTTCATATAATTAAAATTAGCCAATATATTATACGTATTATAAATTATTGTTAAATTATATGAACAAATAATTAAATAAATTGCAGCATAAATTGTGAAATGAGAGAATAAGAATGGAGAATTAGATACAGTTTTTTTCCTTAAAAATTTTTAATAAAATGAATAATGAATAAAATAATAATAATACAATAATATAACAATAATATAATAATAATAAGATATTATTAATAATAAAATGAATACATGCCCGTGATCTTATAGACTGCTGGAAACGGAGTTGCAAAGATTGCAGGAAATTTCCATGCTTCGAGATCAGGATTTCCTCAACCAAATAGGTCAACTTAATAAAGATATCGAGAAACAGAGGAAACTGATTGACGAGGTGATTACATCTTGATGATTTCTTTTTGTGGTGATGATGTCATTTTGTGGTGAGGATGTCATTTTGTGTCGACTCTATTACTTTTCCTTCTATTATCTTGCCTGATTATAAAACTCTTGATGTTTCTCATAAGTTTCTTAGTCTGGGCTTTATCTTTGATTCTAGCATGTCTCTTTCTTATCAGATTAATAGTGTTGCTAGAAGTTCTTACTTTCATCTACGTAAAATAAAAAAACTTTTGCCTTTTCTTGACAATCCTATTTATCTCCTTTTTGGTGCTTTTTTAGTTTTATCTAAGATTGATTATTGTAACTCGCTCTACTCTGGTCTTCCTGATTCTACACTCTATCCTTTAAGTAAAGCTTTTAACTCTGCTGCTTGTCTTGTTGCTCGTGCCCCTTTCTTTTCTCATATACCTCCATATCTTGTTCTTTTGCACTGGCTACCTATAGCATATAAAATAACTTTTTTAATTTGCACATTGATGTATAAGTCTCAATCTAAATTATTTCTTAAATACTCATCAGATGTATCAGATATTTTAATTCGACCTAAACATCCCGGTTTACGGTCGTCTTTTTGTTCTCACTATTTCTTAACTCGTGTTAAACACTTTTTTGCTAAATCTGCATTTGCTTTTTCTGACCCTTTTCTTTGGAACTCTCTACCTCCTTCTCTAACTACTTCTCCATCAGTTACGAAGTTCAGAGCGGATTTCAAGACTCAACTGTTGAAAAATTCATTAAGGAGCGCTGTTGAACATTGCGGAAATGGTGCTTCAGAAACTGATTGATTTATTGGTTGAATGATTGAGTGACTGACTGACTGACTGACTGACTGACTGACTGACTGACTGACTGACTGACTGACTGACTGACTGACTGACTGACTGACTGACTGCCTGCCTGCCTGCCTGCCTGCCTGCCTGGCTGGTTGGCTGACTGACTGATTGATTTATTGATTGACCTTTTTATTATTATTGTTATTATTAATTTTGAAATCTAGAACATAGATCTTGCGGTTGACGCCAAACTCGAGGCCACTGTACTGTCAGAGGTCACCAGAGTAACCACCGAAAATTTGGTTTGTATTTGTTGGTGAATACTCATGATGATGGTAATGATGGTGATAGAAGGATGTCATACTAGCTAACAACGATCATTACGTTATAAATACGGTGATGATGATGGATATGACATCATTTAAAATTTTATTTAAAAGTTTTTAATTCTTTTAATTTAATTAAATACTAAATAAATTAAAAATTCAAAAAAGAAAAAATTCCCATTTCAGTCACTGCAAAATCAGATCGACAGTCTCCATGATTCGATTAAAAAGTTGAAGAAAGCTGTCAAAATCTACACAAAACGATTGAAAGAACCAGACGGTTATCACCATTTGAACTGTAATTTAATAGTGATTCAATGCCGATTAGTGCTGCGATGGTTAAGGAGCCTGCTGCCGATGTTGCGGTAGCTGTGTTCGAATGCCAAAAGATCTCTACCAATCACATACAACGTGTGACTGATACGTGATTTAAAGATACAAAACATGACACGATAACACAATAACTGTGATGACATTATACAAAACAGTGATGGCGGCCAACATGGAGTTAGAGCAAGAACTGGCCCAAGAAGCAAACATGCCTTTGGTGAAGTATCATCAGGAGCGTCATTGGACCGCAATGTTGGAGTACAAAAAGGAGGATGAGAATTATCTTATAAGGAATTTGATTCTAGGTAAGGGGAAGGTCGTTTGAGAGGGTTGTGACGATAGGAATAAAGATGATATTAAAGTTGATTGAAAATTATTAAAATCGTGACGACTGATTACTAGATAATCACTTCATTTATAAAAAAAAAAACTCAAAATTAGAATTATTTTCTTGAAAACCAGACTTGAAGCCTGAATCAATGTTGAAGGAGAGGCCACACCTACCCTCGTTCATCCTCTTCATGTGCATCAGACACACTGATTACATGAATGACGATGACAAAGTTCGAGGACTGCTGACCAACAGTATCACAAACATCAAAAGAATTGTCAAGGTTCGCTCGCAGGATCTTGCTTTTTTCACTCCTTTTCTTCTCTTTATTTTTATTATTTTTATATATTTATATTTATAATATAGTATATTAGTATATATATATATATTATATATTATTTAGTATAAAATAGTATATTTGTTATTTTATTTTATTAACCAAAATGACCTCGTGACCTTCACCATTATTCAGAAATCACCCAACGACCTTGGTAGAGTGACAGCCTGGCTAGTAAACTCGTTGAGTCTCCTGAACTGTCTCAAGCAGTACAGTGGCGAAAAGGTTGCCTCTTAGATTTAATTATGTATACATCGGTGTCTATTCTAACCAACACCTGTACCTACCTTAACAAAAATGTTTCTGTTTTTTTTGCAACTTAACTAATTGTGTTTGTTCCTTTTATAATCAACGCGAGAAGCAAAGTATTTTCATCCTTTTTTTATATGTTGTGGAAAGAAATTAATTAGTATTTATTTAATAAATAATTAATTAATTGATTAATTAATTAGTTTAGTTTAATTAATAAAATTCAAAAAACTCCCATTTTTTACTGCAGACAGCATTCTTTAAATTAACGAATAAATTTATGTGTGTAGAATAGATTAAAGTTAGTTCATGTTACGTCCTATCAGGTGTTCCAGGTGGAGAACACAGCCAAGCAGAATGAACATTGTTTGAAGAACTTCGATCTATCGGAGTACCGTCAGATACTGAATGACCTGGTCGTCTGGGTCTACCACGTGGCTGTCAAATACGTTGAATCGAAGATTCAGAACATGATTGGTCGGTTGTTTGTTTGTTGCTACTGCTGTTGTAATCTATAATGAAAAACATCGTTTATATCAAAATATTTTGTATTATCGGTGTATTTAACTTGTTCAGTGTTGTCTACCTGTAAGGCGTGTTTTGTAAAATTATATAATTATTATCTACCGTATTTTATTTATGGTGAATTTTATAAAAGTTTCATAGAATGTTACTTAGACCTACTATCACCAACGCATTCAAACGAATAGTTTCGGCGATCCTTGAGAACGAATCGATTTCGGGGTGTTCGACCGGAAAACCGACAAGTATCCGACAGGTATCGTCACATCCGATAGATGGCGTGGATGAAGTCAAGACCTACAACCCTGATGACATCATCAAAATTGTTTGTTGAATTTTTTTTATATTCTTAAAATTCACATAATAACCAGTTTAAAATATTTATACTTCATAGTGGAATTAATTTATCAAATATAAATGATTGATGATTGCAGATGAATGACGTAATGCAGAATTTGTGCGCTCACAATGCCGACAGTGACGTCATCAGACAACTCTTCAGACAGGTGTGTGTTGTTTCTTTTCACATGTTCTTCTTTCTGTTGAACGCGGTTTTAATTTTTAACAATTTCAGGACAACAATTTACCACTTTCATTAACGACATTCATATTGAAAAGAACTTAAATGATCATGGAGGTTTTAATTAATTTGCGTTTGAAGCACCTAACCATTGTGTTTTCAAAAGGTGTTTTATTTCATCTGTTCTACTGCCTTGAATACTCTGCTACTGAGAAAAGACTTGTGTCATTGGATGAAAGCCGTGCAAATAAGGTATGGTAGATTCATTCATCGATGCTACCCGGCGACGACTTCTATTTTGTTGCTCGTTTATTCATTTATGCTTAACCTGTTCTTTATTTGGTTATCTGTTGTTGTTAGCGAAGACAGGTAACTTAAATGTTAATTAATCTATGTAAATTTACTAATTGGTTAATTCCATTTCATTTTAAATACGTATCCGATGTGAATCTTGGCACATGTAAAATATTTACACGCAGAGTTCTTAACAAGCGCTTGTTGTAATTTGTTAAGATGAGTAGAATGCACATTCCTAAAACTTCATCACCTCTGCATGCAACTGCATACGCAGGTACAATGTCAGCCAGTTGGAGCAGTGGGTACGCGACAACAAACTTCAAGATGGCGGGGTGACGGACAGTTTGGAGCCCCTCGTCCAGGCCACTCAACTTCTGCAGGCCCGCAAGACAGAGGCCGATGTCGACAGCATTTGTGACGTTTGCTCCAAACTCACCATGCCACAAGTTCGCCAACATTTTTTTCTTATTTATTCTATTAATAATAAGGCTAAGTCAGGCTGGTTCAAATTGAAATTTTCCATTTTTTTTTCATTTCTTACAGTTGGTTTCTAATTTGACGTGTTTGTGGTTTCCGTTAAGTTAAATTTTATTTTGAATTCGATCTTCAATGATTTATCAATGATAGTACCAAGACGATAATATCTCCCTCCAGATTATCAAAATCTTGAATCTGTACACACCGGTTAACGAGTTCGAGGAGAGAGTTCCCATGAGTTTCATCAGGAAGGTGCAGGAAAAAATGAACTCACAGCAGCAGCAGCAGCTGGATGGTCAACAATTCGATGCCCAACAACAACAGCAACAACAATCGTTGATGATGGATACAAAATATTTCTACACTGTTAACTTTGAATTCAAAGCTTCTAATGTGTGCCTTGAACAGCTCGACATACCAGAATCTTGGGGCCTGGGTTTTCTTAAGAAAATCTGAAATCATCAAAATTGTTCATTTCTTTAATTTTTTTGTGATATATTAGGAATTATACACATTATACACATAATCTGATGTTATTATTATTCATTTATTCACCTATTTACAATTTAGTCTGCAGTACAGTCAATGAAGTAGCTTAACTTGAGGGACGAAATAATCTCTGAACGGAACTGCGATATCCATTTTTCCATCTGTACGATGTCGGCACGCACCCATCTAATCAACGCACGTCATCAATGTTAAATGATTCAAATTTAATTTATCTACTCGATTGAACGTACGCACATCACAAGGAGTATGTCTTATATTATTATTATTACAACAACAACAACACACGTTTAGACGGCATTTTCCCCGAGATCGGGGGTTGCCGTTTGGCTACCTATGATGAAACCGAAATACCCCTCGACGCCAGCCACATCTGCCACTCGCCTCAGTATCACGCAACCCCGCTTTCACCCTGTCCTTCTCCACCTGCTCTCTCCATCCCAATCGTGGACGACCCCTTCCTACCACTCCTTCAACCTCGAACTCCAACGCTCGCCTAATCCCGACCCTTCCATCCCTTCGCAGCACATGTCCATACCACCGCAATCTCGATCTCTTTATCAATGTCACAATGTCCTCATTCAGTCTCATCATTGACATCAGCTCTGTACTACTCCTCCTATCCTTCACTTTAACCCCACACATCATCCTCACCATAGCTCTTTCAGCCCTCTGCAGTACACTTTCCTCCTCTCTCCTCAACACCCAAGTTTCACCACCATATACCATCGCTGCTCTCACACATGCTTTATATACCCTCCCTTTCATCTTCACTGGCCATTTCTTTCCACACAATACCCCACCCAGTTCCCTAAATTTCATCCATCCCACACGAACTCTAGCCGTAACTGCGCTCAAACATCCTCCATCCGCATTCAGCTTATCCCCTAAGTAAACAAAGCTTTCCACTCTTTCAATACCACCACTCAACCCCGTCCTTGCGTCCGTCCTATTAATCACACCATGAACACATTTCTTACATTTGAGAAATATTATCTTATATTATTATTATTATTATTATTATTATTATTATTATTATTATAAAACAATAAGAAGGGACTAAAAACAATTATTAATACATTTGAAATCTCTCTACTAGGCTTTTTTTTATTCATTTCAAATTATTCCTTGTAAATTTTATTTGGACTAAACAATTATGTTACAATTTAACTAATTCAGTAATATCATCATCATACGCTATCTATTGTGACAGACATTCAAATGTATAACTATATTAAGACTGATTCATTTATTTTATTTTATTTTACTTTATTTCATTGAATATTTATTTCGCCCTTATTTGGAAAAAAAATAAATGAGTTCCCATTATTATTATTATTATTATTATTATTATTATTATTATTATTATTATTATTATTATTATTATTATTATTATAAAAAGACTTTATTTTATAATCATAATTATTATCTGATACAAAACAACCAAACTTCATCACAACACATTTTTCTTTATTCAATTTCACATCATTCTGCACACACCACTCATTCAAATCATCCAAACTCCTCCGCAATGCCACACTATCCCTATCAGAGTTCACAATTTTATTCTTGGTGGAAATTCCAATGCAAATTTGTTGCCTCACATCTTTGATGTTAATAATTAATTACACGCTTATAATAAAAAAAGGCTAAAATTATTCACATATGTGCACACACGCTCACACTTACATACATATACATGTACATAAATAGTTACGAGGTCAAGAATTAGCATCAATGTATATTTATATTGTCTTATATCTCTTCACTACTTCTCTTTTCAATTTATTTTTTTTATTTGGTTTAAATTCTGAACCATCAAAAGTGCTTTATTGAGCCCTATCGGTTTTAATATATTTATTTTAAACTATAGAAACTAATATTATCTTTTTGTTTTTAGTTTATTAATTTAAATCAAAAATTTTAGAATTGAATTTTTGTTTATTTCGTGTTTTCGGAATGTTAATTTTTCTTTCTATGTTGTATCATCTTCATTTATACATTAATTATAGCATCAAATTGAGTTATATATTAATAACATATATTGTTTTTGTTTAGTTAATGTTTTCAGAATGACTTTTCTTCATATATTTTTTACGATATTATGTCATCTTTACTTATTAATCATTTAATCAGTTATACCTTGGTTTCCTCAATGTTACTTACTGAGTTTTTCTAAATATTTTGAGATGCACTAATTTTATTTTGTTCTTTAGTTCGTACTTTTTTGTTGTTGTTAATTTTACGATGAAAGCTTTTCTGTCAATTTTTGAATAAATTCTTGTTAATCGCACGTCACAGTCTATTTTGTTATCAATTATACCAAGAAAATACGAATGATTTGAAAAAAATTTGCTAAAAAATAAGTAATGAAATAACTATAGACTGAATATCGAATAGTAAATAGACTTAGATCTTCATAAATTTTAAGCTATTTACTTGCACATCAAACTGTATAGCTGTTTTCATGTATGTATTCAGTTCAAACCATGCAGTAGTTTGTTCTTTTTTTAATTTAGGAAATAGAAACGGTTTTTATTTAGTCTCTGAGTAAATATTGTGAGAGAAACTTTTCAATTTCTCTATTTTTCAAGGAAGCAATGAACATTATATCTAGCGAGGCAGTTAATACCTCAGTATTTCACTATGGCACGTACTATTCTTATGACTTGCAGTCAAATTCATGACCAATTTACTAAATCGTCCCGCAAACAAAAGGTCGGTCTTAAAATAAAATTTCTACTTAACGTAATGACTAATCTCCTTATCGGTTTGTTTGTCAGCTTTGTCAGGGTTTTTGAATTTAAAAAATTTTTCCTCAATAATTATTCTACAAAATATAGTAATGTAATAACGTTATAAAACTTCCCATTTTGGTTTAGTTAGTGTTACTAATAAGCTTACGTGAGAAGTGTTCGCTGGTTGTCGTCTGTCGAAACGAAAACTTGAAGGGGAGACGTGACAAATAACTGCTGCGTTATAAACTTACAAAAATATTTTTTTTCAATCGGCATTAAATTTTCAGTGCAGTATAACAATTAAGCTCTTTTAAACACGCGCACAAAATTACACACACAGACAAACGCAAGCAAGCACTCGCAAACATGCTAACACAAACAGACTCACAAGTTAACTACAGTATCTTCATCTACCATTTATTTCATTGGAGGAGGCAATGATGTCATATCCTGGTAGCTACGCCCATCATCTCATCATCATCTAAGTGCAACATTTATTCATGCATATTTAATACGCTCGTGCACACGTTGCATGTGCAAACATTTCATAAGCATTCATTCAATCATTGAAATATTTAGGAAGGAGCTCATTTTTAATTTTAAACGACTCGATAATTTTCATGAAATACTTTTCAAAGTGAAAAGAAAACTTAATTCAAGTGGCACATGCACGTTAAACAACGCCTTCAGCACAAGCAACTAATGCCAACTCCAAAATGCTCATCAATTTTATTTATTTTGCTGTCGTCAATTTAAAGTGACCAATGTAATGTTTAACGGAAGGCGAGTTATGCGAGTCACGTGGACAGAATTTCCTCTTCTCTGACGTCAGATGATACGTCATCAACTCGCTTCGCTTTGTATAAAAGGAAACGATTTTCGCTTCCGCTCTTACATTTCTACTATTGTTGCTCTTGGCTTGGAGGTGAACTGTTGAAGAATTATATAAAACTATGAACTGTTAAATTGAATGTTGCAATATTAGATAGATAGTTAATTATTTTTTATAAAATACCACAGGAATTTAAGCTATTGAAATTATAGTAAATTAGAAATTTTATACGGCAATCAGCTTTATAGGACACTAAATTTGAAGTCTATACTTATAAATTTAATAAGAATTAAACAAGTTTAATTGAGTTTTACGTACATCTTTCACATATTATCCAGATTAAAACTACAAATAGTTTCATAACTTGAATAAATAAAATTACTTTTTTGTGTTCATTTTACGACCGTCAGTAGGTATGGCAAAATTATCCTTAATGTTCATCGTATCGTGGGCCCTCTACACCGTTCAGACCTACAACTCTTGGGCTGGTTAATAATTTACTTTCTATTTTTTATTTTAATAAAATTTTGTATATAAAATTAAATCAATTAACTAAAATATCTTAAAAAAAGAAAATTACAACGGCCAAGGAGCTCGCAAGACATCGATCGACGGCTATTTGAACTACATGGACAAACACGAACACTATGGTGCTCAGCAACGTGAGCATCCGTACAGCGAACCACTCGGCACTCTTCCAGACAACAAATACAAAGAGTTCAACCACGATGAAGTACGAATGCCGGTCAGGTACTTCCACCATTTTGGAATAAGAAAAGTTCCAGGTGAATATACCGACTACGACGATAACGACGACACAGAGGACGGTGAAGAAATAACTGCTGAGAAGAGATCTAAAGTGAGGCCAATTGTTATTCCTCTCGTTTATAGTAACTCAAAGAGAGGACCTGGAAACTGCATCAACAACTGTCTGAAAAGGTTGATGACGTTCTCCAGATGTAGAAGTCTCTGTATATGAAACAAAACTGTTTCATATCATGTGGCGGTGTAACGTTGATCTATGTTTATTAACAAATATTTGATACTTCTATGTATTTGATGACTCTCTAATTGTGATTTTTCAGTATTTTTCTCATAAAATAGTAATAATTTGAGATATTTAGTTGGTGAAAAATGTTTATCGTACACTTAAAAAAATTTGTATTAAGTGTTATCTTTTAATCATTAACAAATCAATCAACCAACCAATCAATGGTCCACGCCAATCTATTGAAGATCGTTCACCTTTCTTGTCTATTTTTGAAATCCATTTCCATTTTTGGCAATTTTCATTGAAACATTCTTTCCTATTCTAGCCTATTCCTTAATTTCATTTATGCGTTTCTTGGCAGATTTTCCAACTTCTTAGCACTGTTTTAAATGATCCGTTGGACTATATATTAAAAAATTAAGAGTTTTTTGTACAGGTGTTATCAATCTTTATCATGTATAATACATTCCGTAGGTTTGTTAACAGTTTTATAACGGATCCGCAAGTTCCTGCTGACTCTTCTGCAGAATTTGAATTCGTAACCCAGTTCTTTCCCTGTGTGTGTGTGTGTGTGCATGTGTGTGCTTTTATGTGTGTGTGCTTTTACGTGTGTTTGTCTGTGTATGTGTTAACCTCTAATATAACACTAAAAATTACGTAGAAATAAAAACAGAAAGCATACAAGCACTTCTGTATGCACAATTGCACAACCATGAATAATATATATCCATGGGCACAACACTGGTTCTCATCTTTATTTATTTATTTTTTCTGGCCTTTTAAACGAGTTCGTCCGGAGAAAATATTTTAAATAAAAATACCCTTTTAATATTTCTCGTTAAAAAAATTTTAACATTTTTAAAATTAATTAATGAGTTCAAATTCAATTATAAGCTCCAACTTAAAGAATCCGCTAAATGGGTGCATGAATAAATCTTTTCTTTCCACAAAAAACAAAAACAATAGAATAGAACAGCTGACTGGCCATTTTCACCACTTTTAAACAATTTTAAATTTAACTGTTGACAAGCAATTGATAAGTAATCTAACGCGTGATAATGCCTCCTAAAAGTCGAACATTGAGCGATTTAATTACATGTTCCATATGTTTGGAACGTTTCAAACAACCCAAGACGCTGCCATGCATGCATACCTTCTGCCTGGAATGCATTGGCAAGTGTTTGAAACTTCACAACTTTTCCTGTGAGTTGGAATGCGCTCTTTGTAAGAGAAGCGTTCGATTTGCCCACAGTCGAGATATAAAGTATCTGCCAGTTGATCATGTCATCGTTCAAATTAGTGATTTAGTGGATGCCGAACGGCAGGCCTCCAAAGTAATAAATGATCAACTCGTTGTTAGGTTGTGTGATTTGTGTAAGATGAAAGAGAGTTGCACTGAAAAAGTTCCAAATGCACTAAGTAGGTGCCAAAAGTGTAAACTTTCTTTTTGTAATGAATGTTCAGTCAAGCATAATAGTAACCCAATGTTTTCTTCACACATCTCATTTGATTTACGGGATTCTTCAATTTTCTGTAAGCAGCATTATGATAATGTGATTGAATTCTTCTGTAAAAATTGTCTTTTTCTCATGTGCACTGTTTGTGTCCTTGAACACGATTCTACTCACAATCTGGAACACTGGGATGAAGTTTTACTTTCAAAATGTGAAAAAGTACTCACAGAAACTATGCAAATGGCTTCAAAAAAAAGCCAGGAAATCAAATCCCACATTAAAAAGTTAGAAACTTTGAGGCAAACATATCAGGAGTCTTTGTTTTGTACTCAATTACGTATTAAATCAAAAACAAATGATTTAATTGAAATGATACGGAAAAGAGAAAAAAAACTTCTGACAGAGTGTCAAAATAAATTTGATAACATCTTCAAAGAAGTTGGATTGGATGTGATTGCTGATTTGAAGTTCAACCAAACAAGGGTTTTTATTTTTAATTATTAGTGTTTGTTAAATTATTAATTTCTTAATGCTTGTGAAATAGCTAATATTTTTGTGATTGTGATTTCTCACAGATGGATCTGTTGTGCGAGGACCTAAACGCAACTCTTCTTGATAAAAATAAACTCAAATGCTTGTTTGCATTTCAAAATTTGTCAAAGTTTCACAGTGTAGTTCAGAACTTTTCTCTTGATACTATCGTTAAAGCATCCTGCTTCTCCTCTCTCTCTTCATCACCTCCGTCATCTGGTCGCCTCAGAGCCATGAATAAAACTATCTGTTTCCTGCCAGACCAGCTGAACGAGAGCCTCTTGCAGATTGGAACACTTTCAGAGTGCAATGTTCACAGTGTGGTTGATTTAGATCTGGAGAGTTTCACACCCCAAGCCAGGCAAAGCTCAAGCAATGATGTTTCTAGTGGACATAAGAGAGTGAAACTCATTTTGAATGCTATTGATAAGTTTGGCCACAAAAAGGACAGCACTAAAAGTTATGGAAGAATGAAATCATCAGATATGATGTCAGTTGGAGCCGGTGACGTTGCTGCTTCAACACAACTAGCTGCAACTGCTACTGTTAATGTTGATCTTTCTGCTACTTCTGCTGACAGTACCAATATCCTAAACAACAAAATCAGTGACATCTGTACCATTAACAACAATATCAATGACAACAATTTTGACAACATGAAAAGCAATAGCAGTATCAGCAACAACAATACCAACAACAATGCAGACAACAATGAGCCTGATGCTGATGTGCACTCTTCTACAGAATCTGAAATTGTTTCTTCATCACCAGCTGCTACTACTTTTTCATCAGATGTAGTCTTGGTTGGCTCACATCATTCTATCAGGTATCATGAATTGGTTAAAGGCGATTTTACGCAGTTGTAAAATGTTGTTCCATTCTTTTCAATGTGGTTTTCATTGATTGAAGTACATGAATTTATATTCTTTATAATTATTTGTCCTGTTTTTCATTATATATACGCATAAGCGTGTTGTTTGGAAAAGTTTTCAGCAAATTAAAATTGTTGTAATAAATTAAATAAAGGGGTATAAAACGGACTCAAAATCAAAACAATTTAATCTTCATAGCAACTCAGGTGAGAAACTTACTTTGGGTTCCAGCAACATCATCATCGATTCCGTCTCTCCAAACAGTAGTGGCAGCATCACCATTCACTCCAACAACAACAACGCAGGGGCTACAAATGTCTGTCCATCTTCCATCCTCCGTTTGTACTCGAACCTGACACTGACCATGAACATAAGTAGCATTGGCAGTCTGCTTGGCAATCTGGTTGCTTCCTGCTGTCTGGCATTTTATGAGATGGGAACACTTAACAATGGTTTTAGTGATTTTAAAATAACTACATTCAAAAATTTTGTTTACTTCATTTAAAACTAGTTTCTTTATAAAATTCTATATATTTACTTTGTTTTAATTCAAAATGAGTTTATATGATTATTTGTAGAACTTCGTAATGACAGATAATTATCAGCAAGTGGGTGATGCGAGACCAGCATTTCATTCGCCCCCACAGCTCTCAATCAACTTCCTGAACGCATCATTGCTTCCTGCTGCCAGTTCGCAAGCAGCTGCGACTTCTGCATCAGGTAGCGGCGCAACCTCTCCTTCATCTTCCTCATCATCATCATCCTTGTTGAACCAGAGCATGGGAACATCTCATCAATCAAACTGGTACTTGATTGTTGGAGAATCACAACGCTTGCATGTTTTCAATTCATCGGGTTTGAGTGTTCGTATCATTGGGTGGGGTACTGTGGCACCCCTTGCTATCTCAGTGGCACCCAATGGCTTGGTCTACGTGGCTGATGCAAAGTTGAAGTCTATCAGATACTACAACACCCACCTTAACTGGGAAGACCATTCCTGGCGTGTTAGCTTTTTATGGATTGCTACAGGAAATCTATAAGCTAAATTTTTTCATATGTTAATTATTATTGCATTTTATTCTTACCGTTAATTAGATTAATTTGTTCATTAACTTGCAGCCGAACATGTTTGAGTTTCCTTCCGACCTGGCTATGATTTCAACCGATGACATCATCGTAGCTGACCCAGTTAAGAAGCAGGTCAGCCGGCATGATGCAAGTACTGGACTCTTTTTGATGACGTACAGAGACCCATCTGAGGATTACGAAATGCCGTCGTTCATCTACGTGAAGAATAACGAAGAGGTCTATATCCTAGATGTCGCCAAGTCAAGCATTTTCGTTAGTCTCTTCATTTTCTTATTCTATTTTTGCTAGTTTCAACTTTTTCATTCATCTATTTTTTCTCATTAACTTGGTTTCTTAATAATATAGTTCTCCTAAGGTAGAGTGTTTGATGTCTTCATGACGTTTAATTTCATTATTTATTGGATTCCAGCTATAAAAACTTTTAATTATGATGAATTCCATTTAAAAAATGTTTATCCTGATGCCATTTCATATTCCTGATTTAGTAGTAACTACTTTATAAAATTAACTTTTTATTAACTCACTGTCTTCTTTATGTGTCTGTTTATCGAAGACATAATGACGCGAATAAGTTTTAGATACTTGTATGTTCAAATTGTTTCAAAAGTCTTATGAATATTATCCCCATAACATTTGTAGGTTTTTAGTGAAAATGGATATTTAATAAAGAAGATAAAGTTGACGTTGAGAGCAGCAACCTCCCATCAACAGTCGCCGGTGAGGCATCTTTCTCCTACGTCACCACCTCCTTCATCGCCGACTCCTTCGTCACCTTCATTCGTCCTGAGACCTTCTTCACTGAACGCTGTCTGTTCAAAACCATCATTGCCGTCGGGGTCAGCATGCTGGCAGGCCGACAGACACAATGTTAACGGGTTCTCCGTGGATGGGCACGGTAACATTCTCATTTGTGATTACATTCGTGACCAGATAATCATCTACTCACCAGACGGTCAAGAATCTCACTCTCTCTCCACTTGCTCTCCGGAAATTCAGCTCAAACGTCCAACCAGGATAATATTCAGCAAGACGTGTGATAAGATTGCCGTTCTTGAACATGACGAGCCCAACAATAGTAGCTCCATTAAGTTAATCAATCTACATTAAATACGTCTCAATGTTATTCAAGGACCTACCTTAACCTCCTATAATTGCTTCGAGTTGAACTATAGTCGGTGGAGTTTGACGGCGGCGAGATAGTAGAAAAGTTTATGATCTTATTTATCAAAACTTTTTGCGTTTAAGATTTTTTTTTGTATTTTTGTTTTTATGGATCACTTTTATCAAATAAAATATTCTAAGTTTCAGACATTTTGAATGCAAAACTAAACAAAAATATAAATAGTTAGTTCAGTAAAAACGAAATATGAAAAAATTTCTTCGATGAAATTGAGGCTATTACAAGATTATCGTATAGTGAAATAGGTTCGTACAGAAGTAATCCACGTGTTAAGTCGTGCAAGACTTTGATATGAAGTCTGGCTGAGTGAAGGCGCGCAACGTTCATTCCCTAATCGGTCTGATATACATTGGCAACTGCGGGTGGTTGTGTGTTATGAACTTGGCCAGTTTCTCTTTGGTCATCTTGTCGAGGCCCGACTCCTGGAATTTCTTCGAAAGCAACTTTTTATCTTTCTCCATCATCTATGATTAATGGATTAATAGATTTCGATTTCGTTAATCATTTTTCTCGTATTTGTAGGTATCAAATTTTATAGCGCACAAATAATATATTAATTTAGATTAACTGAATATTGCTAAAAATCAGTGTAACGATGCGTAACAGAGCCTATCGGCAATGTCCCACTTTTTCATTTGTTAATCATTCATTTGTTAGACAAGAGTAAAATGATTGAAGGTATGGAAATACACCGAACAGAATTATATTTTAAAGACACAATTAGCAAAATTATAAATCAAAAATGAACGTAATTTACCAGAAAATTGTCGTCCATTACTCTCTCGATAAATTCGTTCAAAGTTTCTGACTTGCCCGAATCGGTGATCTGAGAAATCGTGCAAAAATGGTTGAGATGATTGATTCAATGGTTGATTGAAGTTGTCAATGGTTGACAAAGGTTACTGATGCTGGTTGGGTGAAGTTTTCTGTGCATAATTGGTTGAGGATGTGATATGAAACGTAGATCAAAATTGTAGTCGTCGCATGTGAATGGTTAATTAAAGATGATACAAAGAAATACAACAGACTATTGAAATCTCAAAGAGCCAAAATTGTCTGTGGCTGTTTGCAAAACTGATTGAAATTGTGGGTAGATGAGTGAAATAAAAGGGCGGTGATGTGATAAAGGGCCGGTTATTTGAGACCGTTCTGTAGAAAAAGCTTGTAAATGAAGCTCGTCATTGTCATAACATGAGAAAGAAACACAGCAAGCACACCTACTACGTACGTCTATGTATTGATTCACTATGACTTCCCTGACTTCCTCTCGCAGTAATGGGAATCGATCGTGATATAACAGCATTGCCCAAGGCTGGCTGAAGTAACTGTTGTCCAATTATTGATATTTATTTGTGGTACATTCATGTTTACGTTAATTCATCTTTTTCATTTCTTTGTTTATATAATCGTTTCGTTCTTCATTTGTTTGTTGAGTTATTCGTTCATTTAATTGCTCATTCAGTCGTTCATTTGTTTGTCCACTCATTTACACAACCAATTATAATTATTTATAATAATGAATATTTATAAAAATTTATCAAACTTTGTTGCGGTCACTATTTTAAAATACAATTCAGTGATTATAAAAGCTTCAAAAAAAAAAAAACAAGTTGACCTGTAGAGATCAGTGATGAGTCCTTCGAACCATCTGCCCAGCAAGTTGTTCAGGAAGCGATGGTGCAGTCCATACAAGCAGATCAGGTTGTCTGCTTTTATTTCCTAAATTATTTATTCAAGCTAACGGTCTGTTGTGCAATATTTTAGGCATTTAAGTAGACAAAACGATGAAAACGTACCTTTCTCGTGAAGCAAGTGATGGTCTGAACGAGTTTGTGGCAGTTAACGTGCAACCTGAAGTACCCAATCTGCTTGTCGTCCACTGATCCTGATAGTAATTCGTAGCCCTGATGAATGACGATTGAAATAAAATTACCAAACTTAAACTTATTACTATTGAATTTTTTAAACTAATTAACAACAGCCATATTACTCAATCAATTTAATACGAACAATATTTTTAAAAATCCAGAGAAGTGAATGAGGAGTGGCGACTAACGTGGTCCGGACTTTTTACTTCCACTTTCATGGGCTGCTGACGTTGTTGCGGCTTGTGGATGTGCAAGTAGTTGTACATGCCTGTTGTTGGATAAGTGCGTTTTGTTGCGTGCGTGTGTGTGTGTGTGTGTATGTGTGTGTTTTTATACTTACAAAAATTTTATTATTATCAAAGTGATTTTATACACTCCGTCATTGTAACTTACACGACAACCAACGCAGACCAAATAAAAAAACGCTTACGATTTTGTGCTAACAAAACTAATTACTAATTTACCAAAAGGAAATGTTTAAAAAAAATGGAAGGCAGACCCGGCAGGACCCCGCTTTGAACTTTGGGCCATGTGAACTCGGGAATGAGTTTGACGGCGTCGTTATACGGTGTCGTTGACTCAAAATTCTGGTTCGGATCGAAGATGGGCATCATAGTTGAGGCCAACTGATCGTCATTTGTATAATTTGAGTCAGTTATAAATGATTTTACTTGAACATTGTTTTTTAGATTTTTCGAATTTTAAATAATAATTAGTACTACTGCATCGTTCGAACATACTACAATCGTTAGAACTGTCGTCAATTTATTAAATTACCTAACCACGATTTGCTAATTGATCAGCCAGCCAGTCAACTAACAAACCAGTCTGCCAATAAAAATGTAAAAAAACCCTCACGCGATATCCAACTTCTTTGGCATTGTAGTTACTATGCGTCCAGTCCTCGCTGTAGTACATTCGCTGGTACTTGGTCAGCGGTCCGGCTGCTCTGATGGAAGGATCGTTTGTTCTAAAGTTGGCATCAATGACCATACGGCGATCGAAAACGAGACTTGAGCAGTTGATGGCCTCGAATGCATTGTAATCCACGCCACGATAGTTGAACAGTACCAATGCCTACAGATCATCCACGTGTGTTTTAACATTTTTATAGATTTTTTTTATTAACGTGTGTTCTTTGTTTTTCTTTTCAGTTTCATTATTTATTTAAATTAAAAAAATATATTTTTGTATTTGTATTTTATGTCTCTTTGTATTTTTATCTTTCTACAGAATGGAAATTTCATTTCATATTATTATTTCAATACCGCTGTTGTTTCAAAACTGACACGAGGAAGAAATAATAGATGAGAAATGAAAAGATTGACAGACGAATTCACGCGATGAGAGTGAATGCGCCAAAAGTACATGTATAAAGAGAGGTGAAATATATGAAAGATTAAGAAAAGATAGGTCAATGAACGAATAAATGAATAACTACCTTACAATTGACATCATAACTTTGACCTTTGCCGTCTTTGAAGGTCACTCTGTTCAGACTGAGTTTGGTTCTGCCGGTGTTCCACTTTGTGATGGTGACATCCCTCCAGACTGTCAGTCCAAGTATGGAGTTCAACGTCCTCATCATTTTGCAATCGATGTCCGCATTGTTGAAGCACGTGATCTAATGATGGCGGTCGTTAGGGTGATGCCGTTGATCACGATGATGATGTTCATAGTGATGAAAATGGTGACAATAGTGATGATGAAGATGATGATGTTCATAGTGATGATGATGACGATGACGTCATGGCAATGATGACGATAGTTGTCAGTTGTCATGGTGTGATGCTATGATGATGACGATGAAGTTTTCAGACATTGAAAAACGTTGTCTGCTTACACATACGGTTACAAAACAACATAAAAACAAAATTAAACACTTGCATCAAGGCCAATCATAATTAAGCACCCAAATAAATAATTTAAAAATAAAAATAATTGATTGACAAGAAATTAAATGGAGAAATAATCCCACCCAACACTACCTCATCTTCATTGGGAGAGATAGCGAAGACAATTTGTGAGGGTTTCAGACCGACGCATAACAATCCATTTATGCAACAGTAGGCATCCAACGTGTTTCCGTGCACCACCAAGCGGTCTTTAATTATTATTATTTTATAATTATTATTTTATAATTATTATTTATATTATTATTATTACTATTCATATTATTATTATTATTATTATTACAGGTGTTCTACAGGGTGACCCCGGTTCTCCTTTACTATTTAACCTTTGTTTCAACCCATTAATGAAAATATTAGAAGCGAAAGAATTTCAACAATGTGGATATATATGGGGACCTACAGCCAAACTAAAATCCAGAGGTTGGCTTCAATTTGCTGACGATTCAGCAATCATCTCAAGCAGTTCAGAAGGAGCCCAGAAACTAATCGATCTTAATCAAGCCTGGTGTAAATGGACAGGTATGAAGTTAAGAATAGATAAATGCTGTACGTTTGGGATGCGAAAGCTCGATGGCAAATATGAACAATTTTTGCCTCAGTTAACAATCGACGATGCAACAATTCCCCAGATCAAAATGAACGATCACTTTACGTACTTAGGAGTCATTTACGACTTTGAAGGTAAGAACACTAAAGAAAAAGATGATTTGTACAATAAAGTCAGAGTTATGCTGCAAAAGATTGGTAGACTAGATACGACAGTTCAATGGAAGCTTGAAATTCTTAGACGCTTCGTTCCTTCTCAATTATCATTTGAACTCCGTGCCTACAATATATCACTGACTTGGATTGAAAACACTCTGGACCGTCTCGTGACAGAAACGGTAAGAGAATGGTTATCTCTACCTATCAGCAGTTGTATCGCTGAAATGATTTCACTGCCATATAAAATTGGAGGTCTCAACATAAAAGCGTTCAAGCAGCACGCCGAACTACTAAGAATGAGACTCCGCTGGTGCTTCAAACTAAACTCCAACGAAGAAATAAGAACACTTTGGAGTGAATCTTGCAAGGCGTACAGAAATATTGACAACCTTATTCCAGAATGCAACGAATTGAAACCGGCTATGAAGGCCTTAAAACAACAACAGTACGAAGCGTATTTCAACCATGTTTCGCTGCTGCAATGCCAAGGCATCCTTGTAAATTCAATAAGAGAGCACATCAACGGTTCCGAAATTGTCCGATGGTCCAAGTCAACAATAAAACTATCTGAGGTCTTATATAAATTCACTAGAAAATACCTCATCCAACAGCTACCCACAAACGCTAACCTTTTTAGATGGGGTAAATCAACCAACGCGTTATGCTCGCTTTGTAATGAAAAACAAACGAATAAACACGTCCTGTCAAATTGTGGCTCAGCCTCAGCATTGAGTAGATATACGAATCGCCACAACAAAATTCTCACATTGATAATCGATAATATCAGGGCAAGCGCAAGGCCGGGTATTGAGATTTTTGCAGATTTAGAAAAAGAAATGGTACAGCCAATATCGAATCTATTCAAATCGTTGAGACCTGACATCGCTGTCCTCAGCAAAGATACCATTGAAGTACTCGAGCTGACCGTTTGCCATGAAACAAACTTCATGAAATCTAAACAATATAAACTTAATACATATATAAACAATTTAAAAGATAACATTTTAAACGATTTTAAACATTTCAATATTTTAATAAACACTTTCGAAATTTCACCCATAGGTTTTTACAATCCATTCAATCTGTCTTTTATTAATGTTAAATGGACTGATCAATTTAGATATAGCTTAATTAATAATGTAATCTCATCATCATATGCCATATATTGCGATAGAAATAATGCGTGAACATTATGTAATTTTTATACTACTTTATCATCACTATACTCATTTTTGAATGACGAGCAGCGATGACTAGCCATATCTTTTTAACAATTAACTGTATTTATTTATTTGTATATTTTATTTTGCTTGTCTATTTATTTGATTATTTTGATTTTACTTGGCTTTGATAATAAAAGAGTTCACATCAATATCGCAATCTTACACACACACACACACACACACACACAAATATATATAAATAAATAGCGGACAACGTTTTTCAATATCTAAAATTACGTCACACACCAACACACACACACATATAAACATCGCATACATTTATCGCAAACAAACACACACACACAAAACGCACATACACAATTATATATTTATACGATTTAGTTGTCATCATAGTTGCTAATTCAGTAAAAAGTAAATTTGATTTGAAAAGAACTATTGAAAAAGAAAATCGTAGAAACCATCTTTCTCGAGGAAGTTTTCATTGAGGAAACATATAAGTTTGTCGGCGTCTGAAGGATCGTTGATTGTGAAGATGGCACGAGGCATGTGTCTACAGATGATAATGAAGAAGAAGATGATGATGAAGATGACGATGATGATGAGGACGATGATAACTACGATTGTGATGATGACTATGTCGGTGATGAGGGCTATTATAGCGATGATGTGGATGACGATGATGCTAACAATGACAACGACGATGATGAAATTGTTAAGAATAATTGCTGTAGGGTCTTAAGAATAATGATGATAAGTCAACAATACTCACGGTAAAATCAACAAAATTAAATCAGTAATGAAATAGAAATGACGATGATGACGTTGAAACAAAAATGAGACATCCTTCAAAATGCAACGAAACCCAGCATATACCAAACACAAAATCAAAACATAAACTACGTATAAACAACGCATAAACAACACAAACTCCAAACATAACCAACACAAAAACAGTTTGCGAACACAACAACAGCAATCTACAACACGAACGAACCCTAAAAACTGCCTGCCAGGTGGCGTGTTGATATGAGCTGATGATTTGGCAACACCTGCTGGGTCCATTTCAATGGGGCATGTGACGAGGTACTGTGTGCCCGTGCATAAAATCAAGTAGTCGTAGGGCACGTAAGTCCTGTGGTTCACCGTCAACATCTTGTTTTGTCTGGAAAAGAAAATAATTATATAAACATAAAGAAATTAAAAGAGCTGAACAAAGCAAACATAATAATGGTAGGCCTCCGCTGACCAACCTGTTGATAGCGGTCATCTTGCCATACACAACGTTCACCCAGATTTTTAAGCCCATTTTTGAGAAAGATGACCAATTGTAGCAGTTACTGTAAACGTATGAATCGTTTAAAATAAATTATTTCGGCAACTCATTTCATTTTCATAAGAAACAAATGTTTCAATTCAATTATATCCCCAAGAATCAAAGATTGAACTTTCAATAATACACGGCTCAAATAAGATTGTAATGCAATGCAGATAACATTCAATTGAACTGTTCAGTAAGTTTCAGCACACAATAAGCTACTTCAGCCATCACCATCGCCACAAACTTGTAAGCCATGAGGAGGAGTCTAAAGTTGGCCGGGGTTCGCTCCCCCGGCAGACCATTCGGTGATACGATGGTCAAGTTGTTGAACCGCAAGTAAGGTCTGCGTGTGCGTAAGAGTTGACAACAAGTCAATTGTGTTAAGTCTCAAACAAGTTTAGCTAAATTTGATTTTCAATGCATGCGTTTCGTTTGTAAAAAGATTTTCGTTCACACAAAAATGACACTAGTCAAGTTAAAATAGGAAAAAAGAAATGTTCACGTGAAAACGAGAGATTCGAGGAAGGCAATGGCAGTATCTGAAGCGCCGACGACAACGATTCTTGCATTTATTGTGGTCTAGAGCAAATTTATTTAGTCTAATTAATAATAGTAATAATTATAATATTGTTTATAAATTTCATATGAGTTTTTGTCTTAGACGAGTAGAAACACAATGAAGTCATTACGTGTTGCTTTTCAGATCAAAAAGTGTTATCAACTTTATGTAATGGACTAACATTAAACGGTTAAGGATTAAAATTAATCAGTAAAATAATTACACAGTTAAGACGACAGTATTCAAATAATAAAAACAAAAAAATGAAATAATTAGAAAATGAAGTACGAGAATAAAGGACGAACTCTTCTCTCCAACACGAGTTTTCGATTGACGTGCAGTATTGCAAATGGTTGTTTTTCGCAGGTGATCTTCTTTGAGGGAGCGTTGCTGCTCAGAAGTTCGAAGTCGTACTGGATCTGTCTTCGCGCCTTGATAGGGATCAAGTCCTTGATTACTGTCGATATTGACGTCATCGACTCGCCCTGTCGAGGATTGTGTCATTTCGAAATCAGCGGTGGAAATGTTTTAAAATGTCAAAAAAAATTAACCAGTGACTAACGTTGTTGTAGAAATAATAGTAGAAGCAGGTCTTATTTGCCTGGCGCATTAACTCCTGAGATTGTGACAGTGGTTTATGAATTACATTTTTTAGATAGTGAAAGTGCAACTATATCAAACCTTGAAGTAAAATTATTAAAGACCGGAAATTGTAAAAAAAAGAACATAAATAAAAAAACGAGACGTACTCTGAGAAAATAATTTGAGTAATGATTGAAAATAGGATTAAGTATGAAATGCATGAGTTGTGCGTGACCTCCCCTCCTGTGTTGGTGGTAGTAGATGAAGCTTTCCAACTCGTAATGCGAACAAATGTACTCCAAATTCTGAAAATGTTTCAATTTTTCCATGCAACTAACATTTATCACAAAAATTGACTACGTCACCACAAGTTGGTAATAATATAAGCAGAAAATAATGAGGCGGTCCTATGCATCCAGCAAAATTCTGAGTGGCACAAAGTCGTGTACAATGCATTCCCACCCAATTACTGCGTTAGTATAGAAATTAATTTAATAAATTTTGAAAATCCAAAAAACACCTCTTCCTTCCTTAATATGGCAAACCCTATGACCTGCTGCTCGACTTCAGCTACGAACACTGACATTTCGTTGCGTTCCTAGGTACAAGTAGGTACGATACAACACGTAGGTACGATACAATACGGTAATGATAAAACATTGTTAACAGCACTCATTTCAATAAAAAAAAGTAAATACACTAGAAAAAGTAGAGGAATAAATAAATGAAACAAATAATGAAAATCGAGACCTCATCAACCCCGTAGTTAACAAACTGCTCGAGATCACTCAGCATCTCATGGCAGTTCTTCAGGTTGACGACCATCTGTTCGATGGGCTCCTTATCCTGAGCCACGTACTGACGGATTATCAGGGAGTCCAAGATGCCAGCCGAGCAGAAAACGTACAACTCGTGTGGGATGTGCTTCGTCAGTAGTGGAGTTACTCTCTTGTTGAATGGATGGATGAATAATTTAATAAATGATTTAATGAATAAAACTGAAATATAATAAAACGTAATTTAATTGACCGGCATTCCAGATCTTAACTCCAAATGGATCACTTACGGAGAACCTCTGGAGAAGTGAGAACTCTGGTACGAGGTGTGGGACTGATATGATGCAGTACTTCACGTGTGGAAACATTTCGAATATTTTCAAGAGGAAGTCGCATGATCTTTGGTGAAAATTTGCTTTTATTTAAAAAAATTAGACTCTGGCATAGGCAGAATCTGTTACATTATAATCAGTAAATCCATTAAACTTGCTAAAATAATAAATTGAAATTAATAAAAAATTGGTAAATGCTACATGCACGTAATACTCTGGATTTATTTATATTTGTGTGATTATTTCATTCTATTCGTTTCCTTTTATTTATGTATTTTAATTTTTACTGCTTACGTTTGGAATGGAATCGAGATAAGATAAGCGTTTAATAAATTGATAAATTTTTTGTACATATGCATATATTTCTGTGTTTATTTTCATTGTCTAAATCTGTCAAACTAGAAACTAAATTCGGGAAGTAGATAAAATTTTCCGATGTTCCTATCAATTACTTTCAGAAAATTCATTTTTTTTAAAACAAAATATTAGTCAAAAACCTTTGCGAAAATTTCGGATCAATAGCAAACAGTTCTATACAGACACAGGAATGCTTTCCATAAAAAGTTCCTAATGAAATCAATTAATTCCATTGAGCATGTTCGTGGAATGAAAATTTGAGAACGTGCGTGAATGGTGTGAGGTGAGGTGAACCTTTAAAATGTGCCTTCTGAGAAAGCATGGAGAACAAGTAGAGTGACGTGTTGTTCTGCGTCATCTTCATGTCGGTCGTGTTTTCAAATTTGGAAAGAGCCAGGTTGCTCTTTTGACTGTCAATAGCGGCTGAAATTGCACTACTCTTCAATTTGGACATTATTGGGGCCTGCGTTCAAAAATAATAAAATAATGCTCATTCGGTGATAGATAAGAACAAACGATTCAGAAAATTTTTTTCAAAATATTTTCTTCAATTATATTACAGTTCTCATGCATGTTTCATACATAATATTGCATTCCCTCTTATATAATCATCACCAACTATCGAATTACATTTTGAATATTGATTTTTAGTTACAATTACAGTTACAATTACAGTTTATTATTATTGTTATCATCATTATTATTATCCTTTGTGGTGTCTACAAAATTTTATAGCAAAATAATAAAAAAAAGTACTTTATCATTATTTTTTTTAACAGCAAGGATAATTGTAAGAGTAATAAAACGTAAACTCATCGAAGAAACAGCAACCGAAACCTTTCTCAAACGATAACTAACAGCGTATTCACCGAATTGGTACAGTGTGAATGGCAGGTCGGCGTAATTAAAAAATTTCGAAGTCGTCAACATGTTGGAATGCAGATCAGCATAGATCAAGTGCCCGTCCTCCTCTGGTACGTTGGTTGTCTGGGTCTCATTTTCAAGCGCGTCTGTATAGGTACATACATACATACATGCATGCACACATACATACATACATACATACATACATACATACATACATACATACATACATACATACATACATACATACATACATTCATACATACATACATACATACATACATACAAACACACATGCATAGATGCATACATACATGCATACACCATACATACACACATACATAATATATGATTTTATCCATTTATACTACCGAATTTTCAATATTTTTCATCAACTTCGTTTAAAAAAAATTTCAATAATAAAGCAGACCTAAATCATCCGGCTGATCGGAGCATTCAGACATTCTGCTAGCTATGGATCCTTTCCTAAGGAACAATTCGTTCAACTGACTCGTTCTTCCTAAGAAAATTAATAATAGTGATTTCTGAACTCATTATAATAAATGAACAATTACAATTTTGAAAGTCCGGAGTCGGAAACAGATTTTTTCCGGCTCCGGAAAATGTTATTAATTTGGAAAAAAATTTTTGAACTTTTTTTAAGATAGTGTTTTTTGAAAAATTAATGTGCGTAGCGATTGGTAATTTATCTTTAATACAGAAAATAAATGATAAATAATAGCAACAAAATTATTTAGTTTTTGTTAGTTTTAAAACATAAAAAAATATTATTTTACGAAAAAAACAATTAACATTGACTGATTTAAGTGCTTTTAAAAGTATTTTTTTTCAGTAGCGATGAAAATGGTAAAATTATGATCCAAATTTGAAAAACATTTTTTAGTATGTTTTAAAACATAAAAATATAGTAATTTTATTTAGAAAAACAATTACATTGACTGATTCTCAATGTTTATTGAAGTATTTACTATTTGCTGTAAACTATAAAGAGAACTTATAATGCAAAATTTAGAAATTTTTTCTGGGAGTCGGAACACGGAGTTGAAATTTTTTGAGGGGCCGGAGTCGGAGTCTGATATATCTCACCCGACTCCGACAGTCTGATATCTAACTGGGAAAACTGAATGCATTCGTTTGGATGAAACTGTAGGCAGACTGATTATTCTGATCGAAATCATTAGGATTTCTGTTGTAAAAAACATCATCTGGATGAGGTTCCCTTAGTTCGTTGAAGGATGTCAGTTCAAAATATTTCGTCACCTCAGGGTCGAAGTTTGCATTGACGGACATGAATCCAACCGCAACGCCCTCCACCTGCCACGATCAAATTAGAAAGTTTTTGGACGTTGTTGGCTTTGTAGATGTTTTCTGGGATTGATGGTGCGTCAGTAAATTCAGAAATTTTATGTTTAAAAATTATTTTCAGAGGACATGAATGAGGCTGTATAAACACACATAGAATAATAATAAACACAATGACAGCAATAAAAAAAATAATAAAATAAACTCGGTAACAAAAAATGATGGTAATAACATCGGCTACAATGCACTTCATGGTTTCAGATTGCATCTTCACGAACTCCGCAATGAAATATTCTCCAAATGTTTTCCTCAAAGTGCTACTCCTTTCATTGAAGAGTGGGATGAGGTCGTCGTTGTCTTCCACTCTGTTATTCGTCATCGTTTGTTTGCAATGTTTTCTTTTTAATGCAGTTTCCTACTTTCACATTTTTGAAGCTTTAATAACAGAACTAAGTAAAGGTAAATTTTATAGCAAAAAAAGATATGATACCGAAATGTGCTCAATGATGAATTAATGAGCATTACAAAGTTAGCAGAAACCTCACCTGGCTTCTCTGACGTGCAACAACTTTGCATGTTGCTCCCTCACAGCCACGAATCCTCGCCACTTCTCACGATTGGTGTTGAAATTGCATGCTAGTGGATGGAAGACCGTTATCAGAGGTTCGTCTGGAAGAACATTTTATTCCAGTTAAAAGTAAGTAACTCGTTATACCTTAAAAAATTGACTAAAAGAGAACAGGTTGTACGTAAATATACGTTCGTCTAAAAACATATTTGGAAAGATGATGACACGTTGCAGCGGGCCTGGCAGCATACTGTGAATTTTAGTGTAAACATGTTTGTGGCTCATAGATGGTGAACGACACTACTTATATGCCATATATAACAATTCTTGTAGGCCGGGAAAGTTTCACCAGTGTACCAGACAATAGCCTCATGTGTGTGTGTGCGTGAGCATGTCTTCATCTAACTAATCGGGTATCTAACATATTTAAAGCTTATCATTTTTACTGATAAACCTCATGCAAGCAATAACAAGCAACTGCTACTTACTGAGAGGTATTCCAGGGGAGCAGATGAGGAAGCAGTTCTGGAGATCGGGAATGTCGTTGAAGAGGACACGCATGGCGAGCCTCGCACAATCGATATCACAACAGGGCAGGGCCGCAAAACAAATGAGGAAGAGAGAGTTGAAGTAGTTAGCCGAGCCGTCCATCTCGAAATTTTCACCCATCCACCCCAGGTAACTATGAAAAAATTACTATCTATTATCTTTCTGTTGATGGCCATTATAAAATAAATCATTTGGTAGGTGCTGTTGAACTTTATTAAAATTTACTGTAAACAATTAAGTTTCAAATTATTTTTGGTTCACTACAACATTTATGTTATGTTATCTTATGTTTAGTAAACTTAACGACCACTCAGACTCAACTAATCAGAGATAACAACTTCTACATGTAGTCAAATTTCGCAAACAACACTAACTTAAAATCTGAATCATAGTTGTAAGGAATGTGAGATGAGTCGGAAAACCCAGCATACGCAAGAATCCTTTCATCTTTGTCAGTCACTGTCACCGACAGCAAGCATTTTTCCCTTTGCAAAACAATAAGAAAAACATTTCACCAAACACCATCTAAGTAAATTCTAATTAATTACTAACTACTAATTAACTACTAATTAACTACAAAGTACAAACTACTAATTAACTACTAACTACTTATTAAATACTTAACGAAAGTAGAATTTTACATCAAGCTCTTAATGTTGACGATTCCAAAGACATTCAGGGTGTCGTCATTGAGTAAAGCATTTATCTCCGAGGCATCACTTGCCTCTGATCTCCTAACGAGAAGACGTCCTAGATAATTATCGCTGGTGCAAACTTGGTCCTCTGAACTTTTTTCTTCGAATTTAAATAAAAAAAAACCCGAATTAAAATCTTATTTCGAAAATTATTTCAATTGTAAAACAATTTTAAATATTAATAGATAATAATATAATAATAATAATCAAGAGAAGTTTAAATTTGATAAATCAACAACAACTAACTCGACATGTTTGCACTTTGTTTCTATAGCAACAAATATCAACCAAAGAATTCAATGAAAACTGTCTTACATGTATAAAGACACAGACAGACAGACAGACCGATAGACACAGACAGACAGATACACAGGCAGACACACACACAAACAAAATATAAATTGACACATACACATAACGCATGACATGCACATGCTATGCAATCAACGCACAATCACCAAGGGGACTCAACTTCACTACAGCAATGCTAAACACCCAACTAAACAATTCTTCCAGGAAATGAAATGATACAAAAGATAAAAATGAGTAAAAAAAAATTAAGTAATGTGTAAAATGGTAAATTATGCAATACAGGAAAATAAAGAGAATAACAAAAACATAAATTAACTTAATTATATTTCAATAAATTAGCAGGACATTGCAATAACTTTTTTGACGTCATCATCATCACACATGTGAATAAATCATACAGATACGTCGTCATCATCACCATCATATTTTCGTTGTTATCATTAAAAAATAAAGAAATATGATATGAATAAGTCTTATTAACATAAAAAATTGAAATAATGTATTATTCTTTCCCCATCTCGCATTACAAACTTCATTCCAAAAAGTCAATTTTAATAATAATGTCTTTTAACATTTCTGCACATAAATGTTTTAACGCTACTTACATCGTCATCATCCAATTACGGTTGGGGGTGGATCCAGGGATGACCGCATGCCCCCCACAAAACCAAAAAATAATGATGATTCTATGTAAATCATTTTACGTCACAGTGTTATGTTAGTGATAGAGAAAAATTAAAAAAAAAAACTAATAAATCAATAACTCACTACTTACCAAGAAAACCAGGCAAAAAAGATAATGATCTAATTTAAAATAATGATTCTGTATCACTGAAGTAACAATAGTTTAGGTTTTTTCTTAAGCAAGTAAACACGAGAATCAGTAAATATAAATTTCGCCTCAAAATAAGTACATGAGATGATGTTAATCTGAGATTGAAACAGATATTTTCAACCAACACTTTAAAACGGTGTAACATTCAATTTACATTACACATACATACTTAGGCTCTTATCTAATACTTTAATTAAACTTTATAAAAATAAAGCCAGTCGCATTAAAAATAAATAAAAATAGATATGATTAACATAATCCGCAAATGAAATAATTAAATTATTAATAATTACATAAATTAATTAGCGATTAAAATCTAAAAAGGTCTTCAATGTACAAATCAGTAAGTGATCAAAATGAAATATCATAAAATTGAAACAATGCAAACAAATTATGAAACAAATTCTAGTAAAAAATCTAACAGCCAATATGGATAAAACTATTTAAAAATTATGCAATAAAAACAAAACATTCAAACAAATTATTTTGCTTTGCTATCTTCCCTTTCATTACCATCAACCAGTGTTTGACCATCATCATCTGAATATTTAACAGAGGCATAGTACGAATCAAAGGATAACACCACAATGCTATCATACAACACTCGAAATCTGCATGGGATTATATAAAAATTTATCAGCTGGCTGAGTGGACCAAATGTCCATTCCGCCAGCAGCAGTTGACCACTTTTTTCTTTTAAGCTTTTCATTCCTTCCTCCAATGTACCACCTTCTAACAAATTCAGCAGGCCAAGATAAAAAACAACTGCTATAGGGCACATTATGACTTGATCTGCAAATACCTTGAAAGTATTTCACGCAAAATATATTTAAAAATATAAATCAGTGTGATGGTTTAAAAAAAATAAAAAATTTATTAATTAGTAATTAATTGGAAAAAATATTATTTTTGAAATTTAATAATTTTAAATAAGTTTTTTTAAATATAAAGTAATTTTTTGAAAAGATGTGGATTACTAAAATGAAAAGAGAACACCTTTTTGATAACCGAAGAGGATGAGGTACCAGGCAATTTCCTATCGAGAAAGAGGTACCAGAAATGGTAAGCGGCACCTAGGATGCTGCCCTGAGCACACTGATTTCTGAAACGTGACCACGACCATTTGTAGTCGTCTACATTTTTCTTTCTTGGGATACCGACATTCTGATTGATGGAATCCCCAACAGCTGTTAATTTTTTCAATTTCATTTTAAAAATAAGTGAAAACGATAGAAATTTTCATTAATATTTTTGCATTTTTTTCTAAATCAAGAATAAATAAATCTAAAAAAAGCCTGAAACAACATTGCCAACCTCCAGTTAAGAATCCGATGGACGTGTTGGTGACCAGCAAATACCGCGGAGAAAACAAGGTCTGAGAAAGTTTGCTAACAGTGTTACGCAACAAAATTGAAAAATTTCGAATCATTTACTATTTAGAGTTCAGTGTCAGTTAGGCTGGAGTTAAGCAATCAATCAATTTATTACTTATTTAACTTATTTTACAGTTACATCATCATAACGCCCCTCGATTTATTCTCAATTAACTTTTAGCTTAGAAACATATGTTTTTTGTTTACAAATATTTGTATAAAAAGATTAATAAGAAGGTTGGTACAAATTAAAATGATTTAACAAGATTTTAGCCTTAGTTTTATTGATAAAGGTATGGTTTTTTTAGATGAAAAATATGTTTTTTGTCGATGGCCGCCATTATCCTGAAAGAATAAGGCACAAGAAAGAAGAAGTTATTAGTATAGTTCTTAGAACACAAAAGCTTTAAATATTATTTCATTTAAGCTTAAGGAATTTAATGTGACACAAACTGACAGAGAATACAGTCACAAACACTGAACCGTATAGAAATCACTCTCCTTTATCTTTTTTAATGAGGTCATTAAAAAATTTGAACGACGATATTTGAAATGACGCCTAGGTTTGAAATCTGTAAAAATTCTAAATTCTAAAAAACTTCACTTCTATCTTTACACGGTTATTAACAACTTCTTAATAAATACAATTTATTTCTAATTACTACTTTAACGCTGGACGCTGGCGAGGCATTGTGGTAAAGTTGTGGAACACAACATCAATAAATCTTGCGTGTATTCTACGTGACGCGAGTTTATTATACATTAAAAAATCTGAGCGTACAATAATATATAAGGGTCTTTGTATAAATATGTGTCATATGTGTGTGTGTGTGTGTTGTGTGTGTGTGGCTCTCTCTCTCTCTCTCTCTCTGTATGTGTCAGTATATGTATGTGCTATGCAATGCATCTAATGAAAGGTACAAAGCATGTTACTATGTATGGTGTACTGTACCAACATTTACTCATGCTACCTCGGCGTATATATTAGCATGCGTCGTATACATCTTCAAGTGTTCATGTCGTCTTTCAAAGCACAACAACCACAACAGCCACAACAATAATAATAATGATGATAATAAATAGGAGTCTTGGACTATCATCACTATTGTACTGACGATTGTAGGACTGCTCTCATACATACATGCCCCTATTGCTTCTCACATAATGTTAACTTTCATTACCATATTTCCATGTACGATGCTGGCTTGATATATCCGCTCGTAAAAAATGCTATCGAGGACTTTAATTTTAATTTGATGGAGAAGTTTTTGAAGTTGTCTCTCCGATTTGTTTATTGAGTCATAAAAAAATGTTGCATGGTTCGTGAACAATTGATTGAAGGGTAGAATATTTATTTCCACGAATTTTTAGATTTTTTAACTTCGTCCTGTCAACTGGATATTTCAAAACCAATTTGACGTGAAAGGTTAACAATGTTTTTCAATTAAAAATTTTGTAAAAAATTTCAAAATAGTGACCATAAAAAAAACACAATTTAAATTTGTTTTCATTCAATCAAGTATAATTTTAACCAGAGTTTTGAATTTTTTAACATTGTTGCGTGCATTCAAATTTCATTTCAACGCTTTAAAAAAATTCATTCTAACTTTCCTTAATTGATTAAAACACTTCCATTCATTCATTCATTCAACGTGAACGATTTGAATGCAGTCATATCTTGCAATACATACAACCGTGTAGCTGCCTACATTGCTCTGACTAGCAAAAATAACTCTAAATTCTTGTTAGAGTTTTCTTTGTCATTGTTGTTAACAAACACCTTTTGGCAGAGAAAGAAAAAGTAGCGTAAAAAACGCGAGGGGACAGGTTTATGGCAAAGCAAATCTATTTATGCAAATGTGTCCTAAGTAGAGTAAGAAAGACTGGCTCCTCACAGCTGGAATTTTTTCTTGTTCTGTTGTCATTGTTGTCGTGGTTGTTGTTGGGTTAGGAGGAGGAGGGGGTGTTTGTTTGTGGTGATTGATATGTGTTTCTACCTAATACAAAATTATTAAAAAAAGTACAAGCAGATTTATTAGCGATCGTTGAATTTTTATGAAGTTATCATTCAAGTTGACATTTGAATTGTTGTTAATCTGCAGCTCAGTTTCGAAAAAATTTATAGAATTCCGCGTACTTTTATAGCATGTATAGGTTATAGGTGCTAAGTAGGTTTTCTGAGAAGTTATATTCATATTGTACCTAGCGTTCAACTGCTCTTTATTATTTTTTCAGTTTGTTTAGTCTATTTTTTTAAACTTATTAAACATCCAATAAAAATAATTAGCTCTGATGTTATTTTTTTTATTATGGTTATTTTTTGAAAATATCACCAAACCGACCTACCGACATAAATAAACAATTTGGAAGGAGAAAAACATAATTAATTTCCCTCACTGTCGAAGGAGAAGCATTAATGCAGATGTGATGATGGAAGACGACTGCAAATAAATGCCTTCCATCATTCATTGTTAGCGGCCTCCATCCATTCCATCCAACTCTACATGGCGAGAAGCACCTCATTAGCTGGAGCACACACGTCTGACACTGCATGCCGCCTGTTTCATCCATGGATTTATATATTATATATCCATCGCCCGTCATCCTTTAATTTAACGTTAACTACTGCATGCTATTCCTTGCTTCAAAAATTATGGACACTGCCACAAAATATTACTTTGTATACAATGTACTCGTTGAGTAATTTTTCATTTTTTGATGTTTTGCGCTTGTGGAAAGCAAATTAACGCAAAAATGAAAATTTAACTTTTGAAAATTTTTCATTATTATTGTTTCAAAATATCACATTAACAGATTATTAACATGCCAATTTTTTAGACTAAACTAAAGAAGAAAAATGAAGGAAAGAAACGAACAAACCGTTCCAGCAAATATTTCGTTGCCACGTGCGCAAAAGAAATGTGGACAATAAAGTTCACCTTCTAACAAAAAATGACTTTGTCGTCGTAATAAAGTAAAGAAAATAAATTTTTGAATCTCCATATTTTCAAAATTTATAAATTCCTTAGCTCCATTAAAATTACGACAAGCCAACGTTAAAAATGGATCGCCTTTTCAAGTCAGTTTTGAGCATCCGCGAAATAAAGTTTCGCATGGATGATGATTACGTGGATCGGCTCAGTCGACAGTACAGCGTCATTATACTCATCTGCTTCGGCTTCCTGGTCAGTACGAAACAATTCGTCGGCAAGCCAATAAACTGTTGGTGTCCTGCAGAGTTCAAGCCGAGTCATCGAGATTACACGGATGCAGTCTGTTGGGTGAGCAACACGTACTACCTCCCAATTGATGACATCATACAGAAAGATCATCTGGAAACGCAGAAGAACCGGCAGCTGATCAGTTACTACCAGTGGGTTCCTCTCATACTCATCTTTCAGGCTCTCCTCGCGTTTGTTCCCTGCCTTCTCTGGCGATTCGTCAATAAGAGGTCGGGAGTGAACATGGCTGCCATCATGGACGCGTCCAGACATTGTTCGCAAGCACATTATTTAGAAATTCGCGAAAAAGCTATCAGGTATATTGTCAACCAAATGGATCGCTACTTGCTCGCCCAGAGAGAGTACAGAACTGGCTGCATGGTCAGAATAAAACACGTCATCGCCAAGTTTTGTTGTTTTGTTGGCGGTAAATTGTACGGAAATTATCTCATATCATGTTACATGATCATCAAAGTTTTATATCTAGCCAACGCACTAGGCCAGTTGTTTCTTCTTGAGACCTTCCTCAAGATAAACTTCCATTTGTACGGCGTGCACGTGCTGGAGAGATTAATCAAAGGAGAGGATTGGAGTCATTCTGAAAGGTTCCCGAGAGTTACTCTCTGCGAGTTTGAAATTCGTCACCAGTCACGAATCCACAGTTACATCGTTCAGTGCGCTCTGACGATAAATTTATTCAACGAAAAACTCTTCATCTTCATATGGTTTTGGTACGTTTTTCTTGCGTTTATGACGGCGGTTAACTTTTTACGGTGGTTGTTTCGATCTCTCTACTGGCCGGGACACGTTCAGTATTTGCGCAAACAGTTGCGAGCATTCGACGCCACGCAACGAGAAGCAGGAATTCTGGCTAAATTCGCCGAAAACTATCTCCGTCGGGATGGAATGTTCATCGTTCGACTCATCGGCATTAACATGGGCGAGGTGGTGGCAGGGGAGGTGATCTGTGGTCTCTGGAACAACTACAGTCTCGAGAGGAGGTCCATCGCCGAGAAACCAGGTCGCAAGACCATCAGCAAGACAGGAAGGACAGGTACGGGCGGGCACAAGATGGAGGTCGTCTGAACTGAAACAGTTGGTTTCCTTTGTTTTATTTTCGTTGATTTTTCAATTCAATCTATTAAATTTGTTTCAATTATCATTATTATTATTTTAGATGTCGGTTTTGTTTTTTATGCATTTTGAATTCGCGGAAAGTAAAATTATTTGTTTTACACTAAATTAAATTGTTGTCGCTAAAATTGTTATCCTGAAGGTTGTGGCTACCACGTTGTAAAATTTTTAAAAAAATTTAACGGTTCATTTTTATTGTATCAAAAAGATTGTTATGAATAAAAAATCTACTTTGATTGAGTTGATTGAATGAATGTTGTTGTTGCTATCACGTACATAAATGTATATTTTGTTATAAAATGCATGTCTTGTTTCACACACACACACACACACACACACACATATATATATATATATATGATATATATATATGATATATATATATGATATATATGTATATATATATACTTGTGTGTAATTATAAAATAAACGTTGTTTTATATGAGCACCTCACGTACATTCACTCACATAACTCAACTCATGCGGAAGGATTCTACATCAGACAACATTTTCTATCTGTCTGTGTGGAGGAACACAGATTTATATAAAATAATTTGCAATCGTTAAAAACTGTCAAACGAAATTCTAAGCTGATTTTAAACTGATTCTAAACTATAATTCTAAATCCGAATTTAATTTGACTATTCAAGGTGAAAAAATGTTTTCACCGAAGACTTATCGATCTTCCATCTATGAAAAGATTTTAGTAAACGAATATTTTGTTATAAAGTGCGAAGCCATGACTTATTGATTTTAAACATACCACTTGAAATATAAATCGTGAAAATATAATTGCATCATCCCAGACTGAATGTTAAATCCGTTCATTAGGGTTTTTTTTTAAATGTTTCCAAATCATCTCTTCAGTTTCTTCCATGAAGAATAGATGCATTGAAAGTAGTGATGAAATAGAGAGAGAGAGAGAAAGAAAAAAAGAAAGAGAAACAGAAACAGAGAGAGGACGGTAATTTTATACAGCAAATTGTACTCATCTTAAAAATTTTTTTTATCCCTCTTTGTTATGATTAAACGCTGCAAGAGATTTAAAAATAAAAATTTGGATGCAAGCGACTTTCAACAAACTTGTCGTCGAGTTATCTATCTACGCTACATATTGAGTCGTTTGAAAACCTTGTAAAAATATTGTAACTTATTTTGTTCTTTACGTATTTATTGGCATATATTTATGTAGAAATTTTAGTACATGTGTACATATACACACACCACACACACACACACATACACACGCACACACACACACACACATAAATACACATATATACGTACACATGTATATCTCCTTCACAAACAATTAAATGTGTGTGCTGTAAATACAAGTGTGTTTGACATCGTAAATAATGAGTGGATCAAACATTGGAAAAAAAACCACTTTTACCATTAAATGTTCGTGATGTAGTTTGTCGCATGTTGCAATGCCAACATATGTGTATTATACAACTCTGTATATTCTACGTGCGGGTATATATATTTTTTATTACGTATATGTATGTAAGTATGTGTTTATTTGTTTGTTTGTTTATTTGTTTGTATGCGTTTATATTGATTTATTTGTAATGATTGATATAGATATTTTTAGCGGAGTTTTGATTCATTTGTCACTTACGTGAAAAATGAACGATGCGAAGCTTTATAGATTGATGTCAAATAAAAATTTACTATAGGTTTACTTGCATAAGTTTCATACGCAATTGCAAGAAATACACGTCTACTTTGTTTATATCAATGTATCACACACACACACACAAACACACACATATAAACACACTCACACACATACACACACACGTATATATATATATATATTAATTAATTTATTTATTTCATTAATTTATTTATGTTAGTAATTATATTAATATAATATTTAAGACTGTTTTTTTAACAGTATGACATGTACTTGTAGTAAGATGACCGTTTGTATTATACACAAAAGTTTACATATTTATAAAATTTTGTATACATACATACATACATACATACATACATACATACATACATACACACACACCTCACACACACACACACACACACATTTAATTTTTATTATATAATTATTTAATTAGCCCAGTATTTATTGAAGAATTTTTATTAGCTTGAAACGTTTTTATAATTGATATTGATTTATTGTATATATTTATATTTGCATACAATTGTATGTAGATACGTATATAAAGAATGTTTTTATATGAACATATTAAATTGCAAAATGTTACATTCTTATTAGTAACATGGCATTAATTATTACATTTATAAACCACGTTTTAATAGCACTCCATTAAGTTAAATTACATTAAATTACAATAGATTTGGTTACGTTACGTAACCTTAAATTAACTTACCTTTTAATTGTAAAGTGGTACATAAGTAAAAACTTTGTAGTATGACACAACGTTGCATCACATGACGTCACTTAGTTATACGTCCGGTAAAAAAGAATTTCATCACAATGGGATGGGATAAATCTGTGAAAAAAAATTGTATCGCTTTTAATTTCATTCTATATTTATATTGTTTACATTACATTAATTGGTCATGAAGGTCTCATGGCATCAAATCGCATTTCGTAATATTACAAAACATCAAAAGACATTATAATTCATCTATAAATAATCTGTGCTTTTTTCTTCCCTACCGAAAACGATTAATCACCGCCAGTACGTCATTTGCATCCAATCACATCAATAACATCATATGACAACGCATCAATAACGTCACATATATCTTATTATTTATAGTATCGCTTACATCAAATTACTATATTTACGTTACGACAACTAAGTCATATAGCATCGTCAACTATAGCACGTAACATCTGTTGAGTCCCATAAAATTACATGAATTACATCAATCACATTACATAGCATCAATTAAATTACGTGGCATTAGCCATGTTACATACATAACATAATTTATAACAATGATTACATTAATATAACATGGATCGCATTACATTAAATTGTAGGTATCACATTTAATAACTTAAAATCGGTTACATCAATTTATCAAACGTCGTTGATTTAATTCGGTGCATCGCATTATTTATAACATCAATTACATCACATGACATCAATTACATCACAAACACACACACACACTAAACATCAATTATGTCGCACGTGACGTAACGTATGACGTTTGCTAAACGTTTTGAAATTGTACAGCACCGCGAAATGTCCTCTGGGTGGATTTGTATGTATGTATGTATGTGTGTGTGTGCGTTTGTGTATGTATGTATGTATGTATGTATGTGTGTTTGTATGTGTGTTCGTTCATTTTGACGGATGGTCGCTTGCCTCTCAAGGATTATTTATTACTATTATTTATTATTATTATTGTTATTTTTTTTATTTATATTTATAAACGAAGCTGTTTTAACCAAGGGCATGTATGTCCTATTAACGCTTTAAATTATACAATTATGGTTATTTTATTGCAACATGATTTTAAGCAAACGTTTTTTTCATTAACTTACTGCAGAAACATTTTTTGTTGTTTAGACATGAAAAAATGTTTAGTTTAAATGTTTGTTTAACAAAAATTAATGGTTTATTAATCGTCTTATTGTTGGTTGTAGTTGCGGCCATTAACATTGTATGTTGTTTTAAATGGTAGTAAAATATATTGTTGTCACAATGCAATGCGACTTATAACAAGATGCAACCTAACTCATGTAACTAATGTAACAAGATGTAACTTAATGTAATTTAATGTAACTCACTGTAACGCGGCTTAACTTGAAATTAATGCAATGCTATGATACTTAACGTTAATGTAATGTAACGTAACTAAGCTTAATGTCACGTTAATGCAATGAAACGTAATGCGACCTAGTAAAGATTCTTACAGTTTTTGTTCCTACCGCACACACACACTGTACACGCAAATATATAAAACTTCACTGAATCGCAGCAAACATAACAATAATAATAATTATTATAATTATTATTATTGTTATTGTTACTTTTATTAATAGTAATAATAATTTGTTATTATTATTTTCATTATTGCAAATTTTCTTACTTATTTTGATAGTTTTATCACATGTGCGCGTCACACGCACACACGCGCACACACACTTATGACATTAATTTCCTATTAGAAAATGTATTGACGAATGTTCTGTACAAATACACAAGCAGAAAAACACATATACACACATGCATACACTTACAAACACACACACATCTGTAATAGATACGTACATAAATAAATGCAAGCTACAAACTCGCATACACAAAGTAACATGTGCAAGCGAAGTTTTTATCATAACTGCTATTAAAAAAGCGACCAAACAATATTGACAATTTGTTGGATTTTTTACAACACTCGTTTTGTTCTAACATGTAGGTGACGACACGTTGTGATAACGGGAATATATTTTTAACAGCATCTTTACTGGCATATGGAAACATCTGCAAATGCACACGTATGAAAACACGTACATTTTTGAATGTGTGTGTGCGTGTGCGTGCGTGTGTGTGATGTGTATGTGTACGTGTGTGTGGTGTGCATGTGTGCGTGTGTGTGATGTGTATGTGTGTTTCTCACAGAAGTTCACGAAGCAAACGGTCTAATGCATCATAATCCAAGATGGCAAATTGTATCCCACATAGTAACTTGATCGAGTTCGTTACTAAGGGATGCAATGTTTGACGAGAATAAGTAGTTGGTTTGTTGGTTGGTTAATTGGTTGGTTGGTTGATTGGATGGCTGGCTGGTTGTTTGTTCAGTTCATGTAAATACATACATTTTTATATTGTAAGTGATTGTAGTGTTTTGTATGTTGTGTTTGCAACGATATGTGATGTTATTTTTTGTTTGTAGGATAGGCTGATAATTGATGTCATTTCCAAACATAATACATTGATGTCATTATGTCATTTGACTTAACGTGACGTGATTTGCTGTTATGAATACCACGTGTTAATGCAATA